ATATGGCTAAGTTACCCCGTCCCAGTTTCCCCATCACTCTGCGTGCTGGGGGACCTAAGTGACATTAGTATAGAGGTTGACACATCATACATGCTTCTCACTGCCTTATGCATCGCCAAGAAAACTATCCTCATGAACTGGAAGGCCAAAAAGAATATAAGTATCACCCAATATCGGAATCACCTTATAGATCACATTAGCATGGAGAAAATGTCTGCTGTAAAAAAAAACAAATTGACACAATTCCAATCTCTCTGGTCCCCCTTGATCAACTTTATCACTTAATGGGGGTGGGTGTGTACTGCCTTGCTGGTCAGGGTCCCGTACGGCTGGTAGGTGTGTCTGGGGGTGGGTTGATTCTTAGATGCATTGCGGTGCGGGCGTGGGGGACTTTTTCTAATTTTAAATGTTGGTTGATGGCATGGTGTTGGCGGGGGGCGGTGATGCGGCGCTCGGGTTGCCTAGGGCGCGGGCTTGACGGGGGGACCGGTGTTTGCCCTGTATTCGGCGTGCCGCTGCTGCGGGGTGGGTAGCCACTCTGCTTAGGTGTCACGGGTTGTTGGTATCGGTGCGCGGGTGGTGATTTTGACTCGCGCGCTGTGCGGATGTGGTGGCGCTCGGTGCTTGGCTGCCTCCCTGTGTGTCCTGTGTGTGGGTCCGGGTTGGGGGGAGGGGGCGGGCATGGCGGTGGAGGTTGGTGGGGGGGGATGCTTGTGGTGGGTTTCGGTCTGGTGGTGAACGTGCGGCTGGGTCACGGTGTAGCCGTGGGTGGGGTCTGTGGTCTCTCTGGCTGCGGGGGGGATGGGGGCGGTTTGCGCCGGCTGGCATCTCTCCTGCGCAGCGCATTACTTGGCTGTTGTGTGCCGCTAGTTAGATTGGTAGCGGGGTAGTGTTGATTGGCTCATCTGTAGGTCATTATTGGCTTGCGTGCTTGTCGGGGGTTGGGGGCATCGGGTGCGGGCCGGGACTGGGCTGGTGTGCGGCTCTGTCCTGTGTGCATGCTGTGCATCCTGATAATTGCATTTCGGTTCTCTGAGGGGTCTGGCGACTGGTTGTTGGAGGGGTGGGGGACCGGGAAGAAGGGGTTGACGGGGTGGGTTGGGGGTGCGGGCTGGTCCTTTTTGAGCTGGTTGGGGGTGTCTCCTCTGGATTTTAGTGCCCGGACTGGATGCTTGGTGGTTGTGCCGGGATCCTGTGTATGGAGGGATTGTGCTTTGGGGTGTGTCGATGGTTGCTTGCAGTCGCGTCGCGGCCCTCTGGAGTGTGGTCGTGTTGAGTCCTAGGGGCTATTTGCATCTGCTGACTCCCTAGGGCTGAGGGGCTGTTGCTGCTGTCGCGGGGTGATTGCTGTCTCTTTTCTTTGGGGACGGTGGGGGTTTGTGTGTGGGATGCTTCGCTGCTAGGGAGGGAAGGGAGCGGGGGTGGGGGTCTTCTGGCCTGACCTGGCCTGTGTGGCATTGCCTCCTGGGTGTGGGCCGACCTTCGGATCTGGGCTGTTGGGCCGTTCTGTCCTTGGGTGGGGTCCTTGCTGCCCCGGACCTGCTCCCTTGGGGGCTGGTGGTGCTCGGAGTGCTGCTGATTGTGGGGGAGCGGTGAGGTGAGGGGTTAGCAGTGGGGCTGCCGGAGGGGCCCCGGCGAGGACGGGGGATTGTTGGACTTTGGGTTGGGGCTGCACTGACCTGCCTCTGGAGTGTGTGGGGGTCTGGGGCACGGGGCTTTGGAGCCTCTGGGTCTGGGGCGGGTCTGCGCGCTGGGGGGGCTGGGCCCCCCTGGGCCCGTCCTGGGGATGGGCGGGGTTGTCACTGACTCTGGGGTGCTACCGGTGCTAGAGGGGCTCTTGCTATAAGCCCTGGGCTGGAGGGACCTGGCGTCCTCCTGCTTAGGGGGGTGGGGGACGGGACTGAATAAATGATGGGGCCAGTCAGGAATCTGGTCTTCTAGCCTCCCTATGACCTCCTTCACCTTTCCCCTTTGGTCATGTCTCACAACATACACCCTTAGGATCCTGGGGGACGGGCAGCCTGCAGGGCGTTTGGGGGGTGGGGCTGCTTTATTGCGGCCTCGCACTTCTTCCTCCCTCACTGCCTGCCCTCAATTTTAATTACACATTAGACACAGAGGGCTTGGGGGGTGGGAGGGGCACGATGGGAGGCTCCACTACCTGACAGTTGTGGGGTGCCTGTGTCACAACTACCCTCCAATTTTAGTTGCACCTTAGTTACCACACACCTTATCTTCACTCCACCATACAACACTTCACAATCCATGACATGCATCCAACACAAAACAATACATTTACAGAGGCAGGCAGAGGGGTTGAAGGAGTGGGAGAGATTCTCATTGGCCTCGTGTCCTACCCCTGGAGCCCCGGGCGTTGGGGGTGCTGTGGGGTTGGTGGCGGCCTTGCCTGATCTGGGGTGGGCTGGGGGGGGTCGGGGCTCCCCTGGCGTGGGGGCCCGCCCTTGGCCTAGGGTTCTGCGGACTCGGGCTTGTGGCCTTTGCTCATTTCTGGGCGGGTGGTGTGTCCCTGGGCCTGGGGGCCCGTTGTCTCCTCTCCTCGCCTGGGCCCTCTTCGGCAGAGGTGAGGCTCCCGCTGCTTCCCCCTGCCAGCTCTCTCACGGTGGGGGCATTCGGGAGTCTCTGGGGCGCATGACCGGTGCTGTCGGGGTAGGTTTTGGTGCTCCTCCTTGGGGGTGCTTGACTGGGGGGGCTGGGCCCCTGTCCGGGGATGAAATCGGCCTCGGGGGCTGCTGTCACTGGCTGCACTGTAGGGAGGGATGCCTCTGGCTGGGCTGGGGGACCGTTGGCCTGGTTCTCCCGCGTTATCGCTCCCTGGCGGTAGCGAGCTTCCCGGCACGGCTTTCTGCTGTTCTTCCTTGGGGCGGGGTACAGCTTCTCCCTGGACATGCGGTCTGGGGTCCTTTGCGCTTTGGGGGGTCGCAGGGTGTCCTGGCTTCTGGGGGTGGGGGTCTGCGGTGGGATTGTGGGACGATTATCGATGCATCTTGATGTATTATACTTTTTCCCTGGGCAGGGTCTCTGGATGGCTGCTGGGCGTTTAGTTTGTGCGTTGGAGTCCGGGGGAGGCATCTCCTCGTTGGCTTGGAGGGACCTGTTTGCGTTCCTGTTTTGCTTCGTTGGCCTCGGATCCGTGCTTGCCCATTTCTCTGTCGGCCAGTTGTTGGACCCCTCTGGATACTGAGGTATATAGTTAGTTTTCGGGATGTGCAGTGTGGGTGCGGGGCAGGGCTGTGCTCCGGTTTGTTCTGGGTTTGTGCCTGGAGTTCTCGGCCCTTGATGGATGGGTGGGTTGTTGGTGGCATGCAGCTGAGCTAGTTGATTTTGCCTCGTTGCTGGTTTGGCTGGTGTTGCATGGCGGCCGGGGGGCGCGCTGGGCATGGGGGAGGTCGGCTGGCGCCGGCGGCCTTAGTTTTTTCCGGCAGTTGGGGGGACGGTGGACTTTTATTGGCGGGTGCACGGTGACCTGTGCGGCGCGTTTGCTGCCGGGCTGGGGCTTGCTGCTGGTGTCTCTCTCCGCTGGCTTTCGCTGTCGTGTTGTTCCGTTTGCTCTCTCTCATTTGCCCGACCTCGCACGCGGGATTCGCGGGGGGCTGCTGGGCATGGGTGTCGCCGTGCTCGCGCAGTGTGCGCGTTGGGCTCGTCACTTGTGCATTGGTGTTGATGATTGCGTGGCATTTGGGCATTGTGGTTGTTTGCTGCGCGGCGGTGGGGTGCTGGATGGGGGAGGCCACTGGTCTATGTTGTGTCTGCGACGCGGTCGGTCCGGGCGCTGCTCTTCCTCTTTTGCGTTCCGTCGGCATTACGTTGTCAACTGGCATTTGGGTCGGGGTCTTCTGCGTTTGCATCGCGGTGCATCTGGGAGTCTTTGTTTTTTTTTGATTTGATTTATTCTTTTTCTTTCTTCCACCCCTATTGGCTACTGGGGTTCTTGCCTGCCTGTTACAGTCGTGGCGTCCCACTCTCTCTAACAACTACATTCTTTAACAGGCTTATGCGCACACACATGTACATACACACACATACAGACACATTCACCCACACGCACACAGACACACACAGACACAAACAAACTTAGGTTGTCCCTGGTAGAATTATTCCTGATGCCTTTCTTTCAGTTACTTATTTAAATTAATTATTATTCCAGCTCTCGTGGCTGTGTTGTGTTGCTTATTTAGTGTGTGTGACTGTTTCTTGTTTTCATTGTTCTCTTAGTTGTCTTAATATGTCATTAATATGTCAGCTGTTTATTGCTGCTGTTCGGCTGGTTTTCTTTTACTATTATTATTATTTTTATTGTTTTTTTTGTTTGTGTTTGTTTGTTGTTGTTTTTCTCCTCCCCAAGCCCCCCTCTCTGTTCTCTTGCAGGTTTCGTTGCTTTCTGCAATTGGTGTTTCCCACAGCTTTTCCCTGTTGTCCCCACCCTCCATCCCCCTTTCCCCCTTCTCTTGCAGGTGTTGTCCTTTCTCTGTGCTGTCTGTTTGTGCCCCCCCATCCCCGTGTCTGCCCCCCTGTCCGGCCCGGTGACAAATCAATACATAATTAAATAAATAATAAAACAGACAAAGGAGTATTTTAATACTCTCTTGTTAAAGTAAAATCTGTCTGGCACAATATGGTATCCAGGTCATTATACTCTATACCAGGCTGCTGGGCAGGACAGGTTTAAAAAAAAAAAAAAAAAAACTGTAGGGGTTTAGAACTTATTCCCACAACCATCTGATAAACCTAAAACTGTCAGTGAATAAGTTAGTTAGGCCTACAGCCTGTTCACAATTAAAGCGATATTTGAAAAGTGGTGCAATAATAAACACGATTTGGCACATAAATATGCTGGAACTTGTGCACAGTGGGTTTATTTTGACATTTGTCTCAATTAACAACTTTTTTATTTTCTAGAAGCTTTGAAAGGCCTACAAGGGCTGTCTGCCCTCACCCACCTTCAACTCAGCCTGTCCTGCACCCAGTTTGCCTGTCTAGGGATGTCCAGCTCAGCCATCCCGCCCCTCAATGTTGGTGCCCCAGCCCCAGCGGCTCTGTCCCTTCTGCAACAGCACCTGTTGTTGGCTGAGGAGGAGGCTGAAGCTCTTATTCCAGATATGGCTGCACTTGGGATTTCCAGGGACCAAATCTTGGGATCTTCAGAAAGAATGTGTGCCACTCAACAGCCTGTAAGTCCCCTGAAGATGTGCTGGTTCCTTGGGGATGAGGGCATGCTGTGGCAACAGTGTGATGCTCTGGTGTACAGGATGACCGCAACAGAATTATGGCAATTAAGTAGAAAAAGAAATATGAAAATTGTGTGGAAAATGTCAGAGTAGTTGAGCAGAAAAGGCAGGTAGAACTAGAAGTTCTTGTAACATTTTCTTTTCTGTGTTTTTTCCTGGTGTAGCTCATCTGAAGCAGCAGCTGGCAGCGCTACAGCAGGAGAGTGAGGAGGAGCATCAGGGCTCCAGGAGCGACGTAATGAAGGGACCAACTTCAGCGGGCTTACCAGGAGGGAGACAAAGTTCACACAGAGGCGCAACGGAGGCAGTGAAGGCAGCTACTGCTGCAAAGGTAATATAATTCAGTTAGTTTATAGCTTGGGTCTTATTTTTGTACTTTGTACTTACATTCTTATTAGTAATGATGACATTTTACTTACCATTTTCATTGTAGAGATATGCAGATATATGCCTTTCTAATGATGCTGTTGTGTAAAAGGTTGTGAGTAATGAAATATGTACAAATTCGGTTCTCTGGCTTTCAAAAATAAAGCAAAGAATCTAGATGGGCCTAGTTGCTGGATAGCTTAGCATAAAGCCTGGAAACAGTGAATCGATTTCTTAGCTGGGAGTAGTGACTTCCTTCATTGACCAATCTTCTCATCTAACTCTAGGCACATTTTACAAAATGTTGAACTATTCCTTTAATCATTGATGGCTGATGGAGCTGTGGATAGCATTTCATTTCAAAGTCACAAAGAATGTGATATAACAAAGATGTCAGGGTAATGTTTTCGGTGGTTCATTTTCAAATAATGAATGCGATTGCTATTTTAAAGAACAGATGGAAACACAATGAAAAAGCAGAAGTATTAATGTCCATGTGAACTTTAGATTTTGAAAATACAATCCTTTTCCTTACATTCTTTAATTTATCAGAAGCTCTTTTCTATTTTCTTGCCATGTTTCTCTACAGTTTTTGTTAAAACTGGAAAAGACCCCCTTTTCTTGGTGTGAAAAAATACAACAATGAGTGAGTATAACCATCTGTGTTTTGCTCCAGATGGATGTGGCTTTGGCTGCAGAGGAGCTGAAGATTGTTGACTCTGTTGAAGCCATGAATTCTGAAAGCAAGCTTCTCCAGCGGGTTGAGGAGATGGAGAGAGTGGTAGAGATGGACAGGAGACGGGTACATTGTAAGAGAGCTCACTGAGTGATGAACATGTGTAAACAGCAGCTGACATGTTGTCTGCGTCTGGCCTCCCAGGCTGTGCTGCTGCAGCTGGATTGCCAGGCCTTGCATGTGGAGGTCCAGACTAGCCGGCAGCTACTGGAGGAAGAAAAAGACAGAGGCAGACAGCTGGAGGAACACTCTCAGCGGCTCAATGAACAGACAGGTTAGGATTATCAAGAGATCTGTCTGCTGTGGCTGTGCTACAACCATCGCAGAAGGCTGCTTTATTTTGAGGGGGGAAAAAAGTTACAGCATATTCTACTAGCTGCCAGTCAAGTATTGAACTAATTCAGAATTCAGCATATTGCGTGGTCAGGTCCTTTCTCACAGACCTGAAAGTTCCACTGAGCTCCACTCTGACAGCTATATAAGGCCAGTAAAATAAGAGAGAGAAAAGAAGCACATTCTCACATCAGGTAGTATGGAACTAGAAAAAACTTGGGATTTTTGCTTGATAAAATGCTTAAACCATACATTTCTTAAGATTGATTAATCGACTTATAGTTTCAGGTCTTAAGTAGGTAATAGAGAAGTGTGCCCTATAACACTTAGCTGAACCACTGGACATTCCCTTCTGCCATTGATGAAAAGCAGTGATTGAACTAGGGATGAAACGGTATAAAAATTTCATATCACGATTATAGTGACCAAAATTATCACGGTTATCAATATTATCACGGTTTTGTAAAAATGTGGCAAAAAATATTAAAATGTACTGATACACACACTGAAACCATTTCAACAAGTTTTATATTGAAAATTACAAATACAATTGCCATTTTGTTTGCATAAACAATAAAATAACAGCAAATACCTTTTAAACGTATTAAAATCATCTAAGTGTGCATTATCAAGATTTAAAATTTTATATTATAAAGGTAATACAATGATCCCGAGGACAATAACATGAAAACAAATAAGTCTTTAGAAGACAGTGATAGTGACTGCAATGAGCCCAACAACGATGTAAATACAGAGGAGTCTGTAGCGTTTAAACTGCGTAACGTGTTATGTGCAGTGGATGAATAGACTCTGCCGACGCACACAGCAACAGAACAACGTGTAGCATTTTTACAAGAGCAGCAACACTGAGAGCTTCAGTTTACACACTGTTAGCAAGTCAGAGAGACAAACCAAAGCTAAAATTTAACTCTTTTGTTTAAATACTCTGTCCAAAGCCTACAAACACCTATAAAGCTAGCTAATAACATGTCCATTTTTATTTGTTTCATCTGTACAAAAAAATGTATAATATATTGTGTGTGAGTTAAAAACTGAACTGAAAGTAAGTAGAGAGAGACAATCAGTGAATAAAACACATCCGCAATAAATTCTAACCTGTAAAAATGTATGATCTGTGATGTATTTTATTATGCTGTATTTCTGTTGGTGAATATTGCATGTGTGTGTTGTGTTCTCTGGCCCTTCAGAGGCAGCAGACAGAAAACAGTAAACTCCTGAAGGAAGGCAGAGAGCTGAGAGTCCAGGTCTGGAGCCTTACAGAATTATTTCTTTCTTCATCTGGTTTTTTAAGCCATCCAACCATTTTTGACCACAACCATGGATAAGTCAAATAACTTGAAAGTTACAGTATTTTTTCTGAGCTTTGAAATATGACAGAATTGTTAAAATATGAATTATTTAAAGTAACCAAAAATAACAAGTTTTTAAATTATACAAAAGATGTTATTCCTGTGGTAAAGCAACTGCAGGAGCAAGACCTGCTGCTGGAGGCAGCCAGATGCAACAACCAGACTGAGCTGCAGGTGGCGCTAACAGATAAAGTTAGCCTGCAGCTGGAGCTGTGGGTCTCTTATGCTCAACACTCAAACCTCACATGTTCAAATAACAATATTATTTTGTAAATGTGGTAAATTACCATGATTGTCACTAACTGGGTGTGCTGATGCTATTTTTCACATCTTATTTGGGTAATCATGATATTGATAGCAGTAAAAATTAACAAGTGACATACGCTATATAAGTGTTCAAAATACTATTTTTTATAGTGAGACACACCTAAGTAAGGTTTTGTTTGGCACAATCCAGTCTGATTGAGGAGGAATGTTGATGTAATTCTGTGAAACTTCACTGAAACAGCATGACATCTGCATCAGTCTGATTAATATTGAATTTCTCAAGTTGTTGTGCTCTTTGGGCTCAAAAATCAAAGGTCATTGTAACCTCAAAATAGGTTTTAAGGCAATTCCAGATTTCACATGTTGACTGGGACGATGCAATGAGAAAACATTAACTAGCACAGTACGAGATTTTCCCCCAGCTTGTCCATTGTGCCTTTCACTTCCAACAGATTGGAGAATTGACTAGCTAATCGCAATCCGGTGAGCGAGCTTCACCTACAGCTCATAGAGAAGCTTCAGATCTAAAATGCCAGGTGAAACAAACTATACTATACTATACTCTAATTCATCTTTACATAGTAATCAAGTACTGTTTAGCCAATCCGCCTATGATAATCCTTTATTAATCAGTTCAACAATGTTTATTCACTGGAATCATATCATGAATATAGTGATAACAAAGTTTCAGACTGAAATATTTGTACTTTATTAAAAACCAAACTCAGTCTCTGCAACCCACCTCTGACTTTGGACTCTGCCTTCATGCCATTATTTAATGAAACCTGTCTCACTGTACTGCGAACCAAACCACCTAAAATAATGGCAAGTCTGGCATTCAGTGGAGAGATTCACTATCTTCTGATGGTCTAATGTTGAAACATGAGATATATTTTGGACGTCAAATTGTCATTTCATTTGAAAGAACTAATTGAGAAAAGTCTGCTACGATTTTAGATCTAAACAGAATCCCTCTTCCTTTAGAGAGAAGCTTAAAGGCAAACATGCACAGCTGCTGCAGAGCTCCTCCATTGCAAAAGAAACAGCGGTCACTCAGAGGGAACTACTGGAGGGAACCATTGATAGGCTACGGAGGCAGCTGAGCGTGGCCAAAAAAGAGGAGGCAATGAGGAATAACCTGGAGAGTTCAAAAAATGAGGTTATATTCAACACATGAATTAAAGTTTTTTGCATGACGTGTGGTATTGTACCAATAAGTAAGTAAAAAATCCCCGTTTATGTGTCCATGTCTCTTCTCTTGCTGTACATAAGTTATGTCTTGTTGTCACTAAGTTGGAGCATGAGAGCAGAGGTTTGGAGACCCTACTTAGCGAGGCCAAGGTAGGATTGGCCAGAATACTACTTTACCTCATATAATACCTTATACATCTTATACATTCATCTGTTAGTCACATTACTAACCTCTGTCTATGTCGGTGGCTTGTGAACATGTGATTGGCAGCGGGAGGTGGGGTCTCTGAGCTTGGCCTTACAGAGCCTTCAAGAGGAGAACAATATGCTCATGGGAAAGTTGGCTGCTTTAGAGCAGCAACAGTTGAGAAAAAGGTCACGTTATTGTCATCGTTACAATCAGCACTTCATCTGTCATCTACACATACATACATACGGTATTTTTGTGTCTGTGTGTGTGTGTGTTTTTGCGGTTGTATGCAGCATGCAGTGCAACAGGTGGGCCAGATGCTGAAGGACCTAACTGACAAAAACAAGAACAAACTTAAGGTACAACACACACACTAACTCAATGCGCGGCTAAATAGGTTTAAACCGTAGACTGTATTTAAAAATTTTAAACCTGCATTAACAGTTAACATTTGCACTTATGTGCAGCAGAAACAAGCTGCACATATTATGAAGCTGTACATATTATCTCCTCATAAAGTTAATAATTAAAGTTAATATGGTGGATAGCTATGGAGCAACATAGGCATTTATTTGGAGTTGTGCTTGTCTTCAACAGTAAAAAAGTAAATTAATCCATGAGCCACATGATGCTTATGTAATTTATAATGATTGCATGCATAGATACTACCCTTTTTTGTTGAAATCTGCCTTAATGAAATATCACAAAGGTGTTTTTGTGTTTTTCCATGAATGGTACAAACACAACTCACTGCCACAGCTCCTCTAAGAACTTCTGTATTTAAAATGTATGTAAAATGTTATTTAGGTATGAACTTAATTGCAAAAAACACTCTTCAATTTGGAGTGTGTCTTAGTTAATCTTCCGAGACTATAGTTTGAACAGCGTATTATTCTTAATTGTGATCATTTTTATTCATAAAAGTTTCTGGGATTGCTCACTCAGATGTTACGTTGGTAGAAGAGGAAGCTAATATTTACTTTTATGTGATAATCCAAAAATGAAACCCTTCTTACGGTTTAGAAGAAACAATGCAACAAATTATACTTTTGCCATCACAGATTTAATATACTCCTAATAGGCGAGAAAGCTTTGATACACAAGTCTATATTTCCTTTCTTACAAAAGGCCACACACACTGGTACATCCGCTTATCAAGTGTTCTTGTAAATAATCTTGTCCAGCAGAAACCTTGTCTTGTGCAGTAGGTCAGTGAGCTGGAGGCCTGTGGTCCTGCAGGAGGAGTTGTCAGTCAAACCCTTGAAAACATCCTGCCCTCCCATACCAGATGTATGTCTGGATTGCTTTACTTCATCAGCAATTGAAAGTACATTCTGTCAGACTTTTAGTTGTAAATGCATGCTCCAATGGCAACTGAACTAAAAAACTGTAATATGTAATCCTTAGCATATCCTAATATGATACATATTAAGGCTGAAAATATTATTTCTTACGGATACATTATAATGCAAAAATATTCTATAGAATTGGTACTCTTTTAACTCTACCTTTTAATAAAGGAAGTTCTGCTTTTCACAGGCCTGAAACTACATTTTACTCAACAGCAATTGTAACAAAAATGTGTGAGACACAGTTGGTGTAGCTGTGCAATTATGTAAGTGGTAATTAGATATAGTTCAACTTTAGGGCCATTTGATGTTGCAATAAAAAGGCGAAACGTAAAGGGAGGAGTAGGAAAATTAAAAGAACACAGCAATGAAATGATGAAAGCCAGAGGCTCACTACATGTCAGTTTCTTTCAATTACTTGCAAATGCGTTTGGGAATATGTGTGAACAAAGCAATACATCAATTGAAAGAAAAAAGGCCTTAAAGGAATAGGTCGAAGGTTTCAGAAACACACTTATTAACTTGCTTACCACAAGAGAAGATGAGAAGATAAATACCACTCTCAGGTCTGTACAGTGTGCCAGACAATCCGTTGGCTGGGCAGTAGTCTCCGCTGGTTCCCTGGAAGGTAAGACTCCAGTAAGTCACTGCACCGTAAGAATTGTCTTGCCCATAACCCCTTATAAAAACACAACATGTTTTTTGCACTGAAGCTTTTCTATCGATTAAACCAACTAAATATAATGTGTTGTGGCACATTTTGTTTCCTTTGGACAAAGCCAGGCTAGCTGTTTCCCCCTCTTTATGCTAAGCTAAGCTAAGCTAAGCTAACCAGCTACCAGCTGTAGCTTCATATTTTCCCTGCAGACATGAGAGAAGTATAAGTCTTCTGATTTACCTCTCAGCAAGAAGTCGAATAAGACAAAAATGTTGAACTAGTCCTCTAAGGCAGGTCCTGCATTAGGATTTTGTTGAAGCCCTGAGAGGCCCTCAACAAATTCTAGTTTTAAAGACCTTCAGTTAATGTTGTGCTTACATGGCTTATATTCCTAAATACTTTTCCGATTAATTAAATTACAACAAACTTGGGGCATGTAGCATTGTAGCCTAGGAGTACTGAGCTCTAGGCAAAATATAATAAAGGTGCCATGAATATTTTGCTGTGTACCTTATGGGAACTCAGAGTTGACAGTGTGTGGTCAATAGGGCCCCACATCCTATGTTTGCCATGGGTCCTCCCGGTAGTTTAATTCTGTTACATAAGCATGTTTGTATAATTGGGGGCCCTATTGTGTATGTTCTCCGCCAAAAGTGTTTATGCAGCGAAAACTGTCAGACCAAAAGTCACCAAAACTGGCAGGTGGGTTGCAGATTCCACCCAATGCTCAGCATTTTGTAATGTCTTCTGCTCCATCAATGTTACATTTATTCTCAATTTTCTCAAAATCGTTCTCTTGTCAGAAGCCGCTGGGCCAATAGTGCCAAAACTTCAAGTCAGGATCATCTACAGACTTCACTGGATATAAAACTAATATTGTACACACACGTGTGTGTGTGTGTGCATGCGCGCAAACCTTCCAGCTGGACTCCTTGCAGGAGGCCTTAGAAGCAGCCAGAGTGAACAACAGGAGGCTAGCCCAGAGTTTGGAGCAGGTTGTGTTGACCAACAGCAAATTGCACAGCAAACTGGAGCAGTCCAGAGAGCAGTACCAGGCCACCATGAGACTGAGGTACACTGTGAGATAGCAGCTTGGTGACAGTGTGTGAACAAGACATCTCATATCGAATGTATTGAATGAAATCTTTGCATTCTGTCACCCTATACTGCAGAGATGAAGAGCACCGCGAGGCCTGGACAAAGATTAGTCATTTGTGTGAAGAGCTGGGCGCTGTGAAGCAACAAACTAGAGGAGACTATGAATCTTCCATGAAGACACTGCATCGAAAACTGTCAGAGGTACCAAATGGCAGAAGTGTTTCATTCTGTTATATTGATTTTTTTTAGAAGATTCTGTGCAGGTACAATATTTTCCACCATGAATGATTACAGCTCGTGAAGTCCCTGATTAAACAGTATCTGGGCCTCAGACCGATGTTGAAAGACCTCCAAATAGTAAAAGGAGAAGCAGCCAAAAACAGTTAAAAGCTGCCGAGAAATTTCTTAATAAGTGTGTAAATATGTATGGATATGCATAATGCTTATTGAAAATCCTTACCTCTGACTGTTCTGTTTTCTTTTGATGCAGTATACAAACAGTGGAGGCTTCTCATCACAAGACTCTGTTTACATCGTCCATCCTTTCTGACAATGAATTAGCAACTGATTCAAATGAATCGAATTGTACCAGCACTCTTTTTGTATTTTTTCCCCCAGGTTTATAATTTTTACCCTGTTTTGCCTGTTTCCTTGCCTAGCTAAAAATGACAGTTAAGGACTCGTCAACCGGGTCAGGTGACCTGTCCAAGGCTAATCAGGAGCTCCGCCAACAGATGTCTGAGCTGCAGAGACAGGTGTCCAAACAGAAAGCTTGTATCAGAGAGCAGCAGAAGAGCAGAGATGTACAGGACAACTCTCATGAAGCTGAGGTAATGTTACTTCACGGTGCACACAGTAATAATAAAGATGTTGAAGGAGCACAACTGATGATGGCACACGACTTTCAGTGTCCCCTAATGATCACAATGAAATTTCAGCCTTTTCCAACCCAACAAGATTACAGTTCTGGAGGAGACACTATATTTTGTTCAAATAGTTCCTCAATGAAGGAAGGACTCTCAGCTCATTTCACTTTTTTCTCCTTTTCCTACCATCTTTACTTTAACTATTATTGTTTTGTCAACACAAGTTTGTCTGTTTTAAGTTCCGTTCTTTTTGTCTTTCTTTTGGTTCAAGGTGAAGCTTGAACTTTTTTTGAATAAATAAAATGATACACTTCCTTGAGGCCACTGAAACCCTGTGGCTTCTCATTAAAGCAGATTTAGCATTTTGTAAATCTCAATAGTTAGACCTCCTGGTGTGGAGGAATAAGCCTTCAAGTTTGTCTTTATCTTTTCTAATATTTAAATCCCCAGTTACATTTAGATAGTCTCAGATCTCTAAAAGGATGTGTGTCTCTTTTGATGCCTTGCATGAGGGGAGGATATTTTCAGTTGCATAATGTAGCTATTGATGTTCTCAATCAAACGCACTCATATTGTTTACTTGTGATCAAAATGAATAATATATTCTGTTGATTTGTTTAAACTGAGACACATTTCAGTTTTGACTTCAAATGAAGGATTTCATGTCCACCAGTGGGTTTAGAAAATGATCATGGTCTTACATTTTAAGACTATACATTGAAAGCATTGTCAGCAAGCTGCAAAGAACACATTTTATACTTTCTGAATAGCTGACATTTATTTTTTTGCTTGTAGAAAAGACTAACCGAGCTTGAAAAACACAATTTGTAAAAGCTGACATTAGTTAGAAATTCTCACTGTGTTATATCTGGTTTAACACTGCAGCTGTAATCACGGTGATTCGCTCAGGCAGGTTAAAGAGGTTGTTAAAACAGGATTAGTCTGTAGAGCTGTATGGAGACGACTCCTTTGGCAGACAAACCGATCTGCCTCGGGGCCACAGTTGTCACTTTACACCCAGACAGTCATTTAAAGATGGGTAGAATTGGATTCTTCTGAGTTCAAAGTAACGGAACAGCAGTACCTGAGTTTGGGAAGATGGCATTTTTCTAATTTGTCAATATTGTGATGGTTGTCTGAGGATTTTATTGTAAGAGCAGTGATTACGTAGATTTTGAATCTTCAAAGTTCAAGTGTTACCAGTTGGTCAGACCAAATCCATTGTCTTGTGCCTGGCTGGTCAGGGGAGTCAATGCAAAAGCCTGCCGCGTACTACACCACGTGAAGGACCAGTATAGTTTGTTTTCCAAGGATATTCCAGGAGAAGTCCAGGATACTAGATGTTATTAGTGAACCTGTATACCTTTGTTCAGAAGTGTGCAATATTTTACAATAAAATAGTTCCTTAAAGTCCAAAGATAGATAAAATAATTTTGCTGACACAAAACATGAATGAAGCTTTTAGTGCCACTGTGGGCACCTTTTTAAATTTCCTGTTTCATATTAATGTGACAGCTTTTAAGTCGCAACGTGATGTGATTGGAGATTGATATTCAATTTTGGCCTATTACTTGGTATCAGCAGGAAATGTCCTCATACTTCATTATGTCTTTCTAATGTTCATTGCCATATTTCTCTGTTATCCTTATCTTTATGTGCCAGTCACAGAGTTTAGCTGTAAAACCTTCTAAACCGTCAAACTGAAGCGCTTTTTGAAGCACCAGTGACATTTAAAGCGTTTGACGTCATCAGTCTCGTCATGTTCTTCATTTAATACAATGTACGGAAACAGTGCACTTCACCGGAGTCAAGCTTCAGAGCTTCGGCAGCATCTGTAGTACCCATCTACAACGTACATGGCAGTCATGTTACGGTCAGCGGATTATTTTGTTGGTATTTTCACAATATAATTCAATTAAGACTAAATAACGTGGAATGACGTGAAATAGAAAAAAGGCATTGTGATAACATGTGAAGTGTCTTGTGTAGGATTTAGTGGTATCCAATGGTGAGGTTGCAGATTGCAACCAACTGAATACCGCTCACCTTACCGTCTCCTTCAAAGCATGAGGAAGTGCAGCCCATGGTACAAACCAATTCCTGTTTACAATGCAGCAGTAAAGAGGAACCTTGGTAAAAACACAGTGTTTCAGTTTGGCAAATTGAAACCCCTCTGGTTTGTTGATTTTGTATTGTAAATGTAGACCTCCTGCAAGCATCGCAGGAGGATCCATGCCTGTGAGAACACAGCTGATAACACAATCACACTGAGTACACAAGTACATTTACTCAAGTACTGTACTTAAGTACAAATCTGAGGTGCTTTTAGTTTACTTGAGTATTTCAATTTTATGCTACTTTAAACTTCTACTTCTCCATATTTCAGAGGGACATACTGTACTTTTAAAAGCAACATGACACAGTGATCCTTTGTATTTATTCAAACATTAAACAGTGACCAACAGAGAGGAAGAGATAGCAGCCACATGTGGAATAGCAGCTGTAGAGTCTGACGTGTGTGTGTGCGAACGCGCGTGCGTGTGATGTCTTCCATATATATTGATCAGAATTTATTGATGTTCAGAGAGGAAACATGCAGTCTCATCAAAACAAACTGTACAACCATAACATCTGATTCATCTGATACTTCTCCACTGTACAAAGATTCTTATTTTTTTTCTTTATACAAAAGTAATATTTTTTAAACACTGCGTACAAATGTATGATTCTCCATTTACCATATATGCACTTTCTTATGTACTTGCACTTCTTATGTATTTGGTAAGTTGAACTGTGAATATATGATGTGACCGCTCTCCCTCTCACTTGAATGCCGAGTTGAAGATCATTCTTCACAGTTCATCAGAAACACAGAGATCTGAATAATCCATTAGCAGCGGTTCTTCTGACTCTCAAATCAGCTCATCTGATAGGATCGAGTTGTTTCCCATGCTGTGAATTCCAGTGAGGAAAATCATTCTTCTCTTCTTTTTTCCCTTCCTTTGATAAGAGTACCATCTCCTTTGTGATTGTACTGTAGGCTGAAGAGTTGAATGTAGATAGAGACACAGAGATCCTCCATTTGTCACTGCACTTTGCTACAAATCCTGAGAAAAACATCCAGTCCACTTTCTTTTTCTAAAAAAGTTGACAAATCTTAAAAACCGTACAAACACTCACAGTAACAAGAGACCAATGCAGGCAAACAATACAACAGTTATGGTGGTAGAACAATGACCATTTCTCTCTGCAGCCACAAGAGCGCGGCATTGCGACACAAATCAAACTCCAATCCCAACTCAAAAAAAACACCAACATTTTTGCCAGGCACAAGGATGCTATTGATTAAATTGGTCCTTGTCTAGTTTCATTTGGGACTGAAAGCATTGTTGCTGCCGATCTTCTGATATGCTTAAGTTTTTCTAGTTGATGCTACAAAGAACAGAAACAATTGAGGAAATGTGTTGCTTAATTAAAAAACAAAGAGCTTATGAATCCTACGCATAATGTATGTGATATATGTGATAAAATAGAAAAATAGATGATTTTGAAATAAATGTAAACATAGAAAAATATATAATCAAATGATATATATGTACATGATCAGTGGTCATGTGACCCCTGCTTTAGGCTGGTTAGTACAGACAATGGACAATTGTATAAACTTGAAACTTGAATTGAAAACGTGTACTGATGATGTTGAAAAGATACATCTCAATTCTGTATCCTTTATAGGCAAGAATAGGCTTTATGCTATCATCATGTTGGCTCTGATGAATGTGGGATGTAGGACAGGTTGTGTGTATTGGTGGGAGCTGTGAAGATGAAGTTCATCCCATGGTCAACAGCCGGGCGGAGAGGTCACCATACGGAGCATTTGTCCACAGGGTTCATTGGGGAACCCTTCGGACAGTGAAAAACACGGGAAAACTCATCAAACTGGGAAACACTGCCAATAACTCTGCAGGGGGAGGAAACACGGGAACATCCAATAGTGATGTGGAAATCATAAAACATTTGTGCCTGCGTATGCGTGTATCATATTTTGTGCAACTGCATGCAGTAATTCAAGTGTAGTGTACTTTTTATTGCATAATGGAATAGAAGATAATTCTACAGTTGAAATCTTTGTGCAAAGGTGTAACATCCTGACAAATCTGTGGTTGGTGGGTGCTTTTATGTGAGTGTGTATACTACTACTGTACTGTACCTGTAGTGCTCTGGTGCATGTTTGTCAGTCAGCAGCTGCAAGTAGATGGACTGAGATCTTCTCTTCATACACCAGTTCTGAAAAGACAACATTAACACAACAGTGACCCAACCTGGATACACTTTGGCCAAAGCAGCACACTACTGTTGGTAAGTAACAGTACATTTACTCATTTACAATTATAAGGTACTTGTACTGTATTTGGGTACTTTGTGATACTTAATACTTAAACTCAGAGGCAAATGCTGTACTTTTTACTGCACTACATTTGTTTTAAGAGCTATAGTTAGTAGATACTTAGATAAGATAGATAGATAAGATTTCACATAAAAACAGATAAACTTAACAACAAATAAAATGTATTGTTTCAACATCAAATCACTAGTTCCCAATCTTTTTGGCAGCCTCCTTACAAAAGAAGAGTTGGAGCCCCTTGTGATGATTCTGACCCTACCAAGGAGTGATTTCCTGTCTAACCTTCTCAGATGGTCTCATTTAAATGACCATCAAGTCCCAACGAGGTACAATTATCGAATATTTCACAAAAAGCAAAGACTAAAGAAAAGTACCAAAAGACACAATTGTGTAGTATAACCCTCCCATTTCTAACCCATTAATCAGATAATAATAGGAAAATAATAAACTACTAAAACTAAACTATGTAACTGTATAAGTAGTTTAAACCCTTGACCACATACGTACAACAGTAAAATGCTACTTATGCACTGATTAATTAGTATTAACAATTTTTTAATGTAATATATAATACTTCGTCAATCAAGGGCCATTTTTCTGAAAAACATAAAAAAAAGTACTTTTTGATACTTTAAGTAATTTTGTGCATGATACTTTTGTAGGAGTTTACATTCATCTTTTACTTAAGTAAAGGATCTGAATACTTCTTTCACTACTGCTTACTCCATGATTGGGTAAAAATGGCCATAAAAACAAAACAAATCTCGGCCAGAATTTGATATGATCAGCCAAACCTGGACACTCTGGAGACATGTTAATGTAAATGTCTCATGTCTCATAAGACACTATTTTTACATTGCACTACATTTTTTGTCTGATAAGAACATTATGCTATTTCTTGTTTAACCAATATCAACACATATCAACTATCAACAGAAAAATAAAATGCAAAAATTGATCATTCATCATTTAAAAAGTCATTTTTCAGTTTTGTATTCTCAGATGTGAGTATTTGCTAAAAACTTTGGACTGTGGATCGGATAAAACAGGACATCATGTTGTGATGGGCATGTTTCAGCTATTTTCATTTTATTGACCAAAAGATTTTCAAGAAAATAATCAGATAAATAGATAAATAATCGTTAGTTGCAGCCCTACATTTGTTATTAGTCAGACGTTTAATGAGTCATTATGTTGAAAAAGCATGTCTGTTGGCCTGCTGTGAAGATTTGCATATTTAACCACATTAATTATGTAAACACAAAGGTGGTTGAATTGCCTCACAGCTAGTATGCTTTTCATTCAGCCTGGACATGCCCATATGACATTTCAAATGAATGTACGCATGCATGATTTTCATATCAAACACTTCCCTGTGGCAAGAGTTTTAAAAAATGTGCTAAAACACTGAAAATTACATTAAAAAGTGTGTCTAGATTTTGCCACTGTTACATAAGCCATGAATTTCAATGATAGTGGTAATAGTTAGGAGGAGCAGGGGTGGTCTAGTGCTTAGAGCCATTGTACTATCATCAACACTGCTTTTTTAAACCCTCCAATGGTTAATGCATCCATCAGCGTATGTTGGCATAATATAGAACCTGTACCTGCTCTCTATCAACAGTCACTCCCGCAGAGAGTGGCAGCTAAACTGATTTAACATGTAAATGTGATGAAAGACTGTAGTGTAGGGAGGCTTCTGTACCTGTGCAAAGGCGATGAAGAGCAGCTGTTCATGTGTGTACCTGAGGCCAGGCAGGGGCCTCTCTGGACCATGTTCCCTTACCCACTTCTGATAGGCCTGGACAGTGAGAGAGAAGTGTGTGGAGGGAGTGAATAATGAAATATAGGAGATACAAATTAAATTCTGATCCCTCACCTAATGTCCAAAGTGGAATATTCTCTCTAAATTAAGATCTGAAAACAAATTGGACATTTACAATGTCCACATGTAGAAATCCCTGAAACTTACTCATTCTAACTGATTGGCAGAGAAAGGTGAATCAAGTAAAAATGTTTGTTGATTCTGGGGAACGTCTGCTCTTTACTTTCATGCAAATAAAGCAGAGTGGAAAATAGACAGGTATACTGATAGAGTGAACGCTACTATTTCGATTTTGTGAATCATATAGTCACACTATTTGAACAATGATTGAATCAAATATTACTTACATAGTATGACAGCTTGAGCCCTCCCATGTCTGCTATGTTCTCCCCCAGTGTCAGACGACCATTCACCTAGACAGGAATGAAACTTTTGAAACACTTGAAGCTCTTAACATCTCTGCCTCCACGCTTTTGTGCTGGTATGTACATGCACTTCAAGGATGTACTTTAATCTAACATCTGGCATGTGATTAAAAGGCCAATATCAAATGCCAGTTTTTATTTCAGGAAGTTGCTTCTCGCTGATCTTATCTTATGATTCAATCATTTTAAAAGAAAAGTTCTACATTTTGGGAAATGTGTTTAATTGCTTTCTCGATGAAAAGATCATTTCCACTCTCATGTCTGTTTGTTGTGCCAGACTGTCCCTTGGCTAGGCAGCGGGCACAGTAACCTGGTTCCCTGGAAGACGAGACTTACAGCAAACAGCTCACCTGCTCTGTTCGATGGTGGAAAATCTGCCAGTCAGCACCTCTAAAGCTTGATGATTAACACGTTAAATTTTGTTAGTTTAGTCCAAACAAAAACCACAATTTTTGATTTGACAGGGCCTTGACTATTTCTTCTATAGCCTGCCTTTCCAGGGGATTGAAACAATAACCTTCTGGTCACAAGCTTGCTTTGCTAACCTTCAGGCTACCACTGCCCCCAGTTGCTCTTGAAAAGATAGCAAATAAGTGTATTTCCCGAAATGTCTCAATATTTTAATTCAAATGTAAAGAGGGTGGTAAAGGTAAAGGATGTTATACCAACAGACCACAAAGCTCTCCACTCAATCTATTAAAATTGGACTCCAGCTATTTAGTATTACACTTCTTTAAGGTCGAGGGACGTGGGAGAGAGAGATTTAAAACAGAATGGTCAAAATTGAAGCAGCAGAAGCTGAAATATTCGGACTTTTTAGCCCTAGTAGTAGTCAAGGTCCAAAAATCATGGATCCTACATTTCCCATAATACAACTCAAATGGGTCTTTTGTAAGAGCCACCCTGCCAGGGTAAATGACCATATTTTTTCAAACTCCATTTCTCCAGTTTGTAATACAGGCTTTCTGTTCTACATTTGTAATGTTCAAGCACAATTTGAGTTAACCCTGATGACATCACTATGACATCATCAAGGTCATTTATGACTGCAATTTTTAGACTTGAACAAGCTGTTTCAGGGCCACTGAAGACATACAAATGAGTACTCCTTTTAAAGGACCATACATGTAATCATGCTGTTTGTAATCTGGACAAAATATTGCGAAAGTCTTCCACAGATAACCACAGTAGTAGGGATCTAATCAGAAATAATAATAAATCAAGCTGCATCATATTAGAGGACACTGACTTGCTGACATATGGTTTTCAATATAAAACTAATATCAGTCCAGAATATCAGCAAACCCATATGTCTGTAATGCTATCATAAAAATTGTATGCACAATAGGAAGGTATTTTTGTGACTTTTTAATGCAAACAAAAACAATGTTTTGAGAGAATATTTATGGCACTGCAATCAAAAAACAAGTTTTTAATTAAAAATAAATAGGCCTTTTTTGTGTCACAAAAAAGTTTTAATTGCTATTATGTCATATTATTTGATTGGAAGTCAAAAAGTTTTCCTTGCGAGTCAGAAAGTTTTGCAGGTTAAACCGTTTTGCAAATGAGAGTTTTGCGAGTTGAAAAGTTTTGCGAGTCAAAAATTCAAAATAAGAGATTCTATTGGTGGGTTTGACTGACCAATCATGGGTTTGCATTTAACGCATGGGCACGCCCACAATGCCCTCGCTCCGGCGTTGTAACATGTACAGAATAGATGGAGGTAAGTTGACATTATGTCGCTCATTTCAATATTATTTTTTTTAAATGTAGTATGGCATGATTTGATGCTTATTTATATTTACCATAGGCAAGGTCACAGAGTCTATCACTGTCTCCTTTTTTAGAATGACATGTATAACAGTTAGCTTACTGTTAGCCGTGTTATCATGAAGCCTGACTGGCAGTGCATTTGTGCACTCGGACATGACGAGCTAGGCCAAGGTTAGCTACTCCTGTTTAACACATTGTACGTGGTATTGAGGAAAACTAGTTTTCTGTGACTGTGGTAACTAAAGTTTATGGTCACACAGTATAAACTAGACTTTAGACTGCTGATATTACATTGGAAATATAGACTTATCTAGATATTATGAGTTGCTGCCTTGTTAGGTTTTTTCCTTTAGATGTGACATAGAGGCATTTATTACACTCATTCATTTTCCTATCCATAGTTGCAGTCTGGATCATTGGTGACAGCTATGTATGGCATGGTTGCCAGAGAGCTTAGGAAGCATCTTCACCCTGCCGGATGTCTTTTGGTCTGGCTGGCTTCTCCTTTTTTTCCCCCTCCCTGTGAAGAAGTGCACCATCAGATGTCCTCATCATCCACTGTGGCGGCAGCAGCATGCTGGTATGGCTGTATTTGTTTGTAGCTTAAATGATACCATGATTAAAAACCCTCGCATCAGACATGGCAATCCTGGGCTATATTTGAAAATTGGAGTTCATTTCACACCTAGCGTAATTATGTTTTGAAGTATAGTAGCTAATTACCTTAAAGGCCACTTCCCAATGTAGTGAACCGCTTTCAGTTGGCAGTGTCACTGCTTTTGAATTTGGCCTTTAGGATCCAATTTTTTGCGCCTAAACATAGCTGACCGTCATAGCCTATTTGCACACCTTTTTGTCTTTAATACTGACTGGAAATGTTATGATATACTGTCAGTCTAGTTCAAACACACAAGAAGATGTGCACATCCAATAAACCTGTGGGCGTAGTGCTGAATGAAAATGCTTAGAGTGAAAAAAATAAGAATGACCTGCACACTGTGTAATTTTGAATCCCACTAGGCAGTTTCATTTATTGCAATATTTAAAACTCTGAGGTCTTCCCAGGCAAATACACAGGTATTGTGAAGGATATACAGTGAGGTAAAAAGAAACAACCAGCTGATGTTATGCACCTCTGATTAATAGGTGCTTTCTTTCAGCTGATTTAGTTTTTTTCCTTTTGCCTCCCTAAACAGTTATAGCTTCACAATACATGTGCAATACCTACAAGACATCTCAGAGGTCGCAACTTCAAAACTATTCATTGTGCAGATAATTCTTTGAGTATAATGTCTCAGTGAATTTCAGACTGGTCTCTTACCTTCTTTTTGTTTTTTACTTTCTGCAAAAAGAGATGCAAAACGTTAACCTATAAATACCACCTCATTATTATCATTTACAACATTTAACCATCATTTTTTCTCAAAAGTTTAGATAACTATTATATTTCCAATTAACATAGGAAGTTAAAGGATGTTAAAGTTGTTTTGTATGACTTGAAATAATGTACAGTTAAGACACTTAAATAAAAAACATAATGTGTGACAGTTGTAACAGTAATCATAATAATGGAACCTATGGATAGGAAGCTACAGTGTTTCCCATTAATTAACGAGACCACGGTAGCCCGCCATAGTCTAATTTGCTCCGCCATAGTTTCAAAATTAAGTGAAAATATTTTTTACACATCTCATAATTACATTTCAGACCTCTAAAGTTGTGAGCTACTGTAAGCTCGCACCCTCGCATTCGACTCGAGACAACCACTTTTATTCTTAGGTAACTACGGTAACGTTAACGGCCTGTTTCTGCCACTCGTTTGTGAGAAGGCGATTAAGCTAGCCGCGCATAAATTTGGAGTGCACACGTATTAAAAGCCTTCATGGTAAATCCACTGTAACAGAAACACATGCAACATTATTTATCAAATTGGGTCGGACTCTGGTCGTACTTAATGAATTTAGCGCGAGGATACAAATGTGACAAGGCCTGGTTTTCAAAATAAGGTATCTAAACAGTATGGAAATAAAATTAATTGGATTAAATTCACGGAAAGTATAAAACATATTACATTACAAAAAAAATAACTTATTCTAATTTCTATTCTTTGATTTAGGGTTTTTGGAAAAACATTTATTGACTTTTGTTGCTGTTTCATCACCATTTATAGCTTTACAATAGGTTTATGATCAAATAGTTTATTAGAGCACAACATTGTTTACAACCGTACAAAGTTCTTTATAGATACTGCACCAAATTAATGCGTTTAACTTTAAAATGTACAAAATTTTCTTCCGGGGGTGCATGCGCCCGGAACCCCCAAGAGTGTCCGAGGCCCACCCACCATAGTCTCTTAAAATCTTGTGGGAAACACTGAAGCTAGTGTCATCATTTAAAATTTTAAATAAATAGTGTTCATATACTGTAGGATAAGGTTGTGGAGTAAAAATAAAAACAATGGTTCAGCAGGTGCAGGTGCTGTCAGGGAAGAGAGCCAGCCACGATGGAAGGTGGTACTTTCATATCCTGTAGCGCACTGGGCCCAGGCCCTCCACATCAAGTAGAAGTAGACTAAGCAGGGGCAGTCAGACGTCCTACATGAGAGACAGACAATGTGTTAGGTGCAGTCGGAGAGCGTAGACACAAAATAAGAAGCACCTGTCACACACCTGATATCTCTAAGCTTATCTAGCTTTACATAACTCGCCAAGAGACGTCCTGCAGGGTGAAGATGCTTCCTAAGTTCTCTTCCGCTCTCTGGAAACGTAACAAGGCAGCAAAATATCTAGATATCAGTCTATATTTACAATGTATTATCAGCGGTCTAAAGTCTAGTTTATACTGTGTGACCATTAACTTCAGTTACCACAGTCACAGAAAACTAGTTTTGCTGGATATCATGTACAATGTGTTAAGCTTGAGTAGCTAACCTTAACCTAGCTATAGTCATGTCAATGCACAGCCAGTCAAGCTTCATGCTAAGATGGCTAACGGTTAGCTAACTGTTGACAGTGATAGACTCTGTGACCTTGCCAACGGTAAAAATAAATAAGCATTAAATCATGCCATACTACATTTAAAAGCATTTCTATTGAAATGAGCGACATAAAGTCAACTTACCTGCATCTAGCCTGTACGTGTTACAACGCCATCTCCAGTAGAGCTGAGTGGTGGTCGAAGCCATCGGAGTGAGGGGATTGTGGGCGTGGCCATGCGGTAAATGCAAACCCATGATTGGTCAGTCAAACCCACCAATAGAATCTCTTATTTTGACAATTTTTGACTCGCAAAACTTTTCAACTCGCAAAACTCTCTCATTTGCAAAACGGTTTAACCTGCAAAACTTTCTGACTCGCATGGAAAACTTTTTGACTTGCAATCAAATAATATGACATAATAGCAATTAAAACTTTTTGTGACACAAAAAGGCCTATTTATTTTTAATTGCAAACTTGGTTTTTGATTGCAATGCGATAAATATTCTCTCAAAACATTTTTTTTGCTTGCATTAAAAATACATAAAAATACCTTCATAGCACAAGTAAGGACTGTGTGTGTGCGGACCCACCCTCTGGTTATAAACAGTGAAGTTATCATAGAGCTTGACGATACATTCAGCCTTCGTCTGGAACTTTCTGTAGGACTCTTCTGTCCACCACTGTTTGAGGTTGCCATGGCGGTCGTACTGGCCCCCTAGGGACATGAACCATTGCATCACTAAGATGAAGGGCAAAAGGGTAGGGTGAGGGGCAGTGTTAGCATGGGGACAACACAACCTGCAACTTTCTTTTACAGTAGAAAGAGCTGCCCAGCATGTCATCTTTTACACTTTTTGTAGCAGCGGGAGTCAAACCATCAGGAGGCAAAGCATTGTTGGGTTGACCTTGGCTGATGTATCCAGTAGCACTGGCAGAGACTTCACACCCTGATTCAAGTCTTAATGTATCTTAAAGGGCAACACTTTACGCTGCAAATGAAAGTTTGAGATTGTGGCTTAAAATTGTCTCTGCTGTTCAGTTGCGGGAATCCTACAAATGTCATAAAATTACTCAAATCATCAGGGAACCCATGCTCTTTCTGTGAAATAGAATAGTTAAGTGCAATTGCGGGAGTACAACTCAAAATGGTGAAAACGTGTGAGTGTATGAGCATTGCTGCAATGGATTATGTGTGAAGTGGTAATTCTTACCCCAATCATCATATCCATGTGTTAGCTCATGACCAATGATAGCTCCTATTCCGCCATAGTTAAGAGACCTGGCAGAAGGAAGGAGAGACATGGAACATTACACAAAACAAAAATGTTCATGGCATTTAAAGGTTCTTAAAAAGTATTGACTTGCCTACACGAAAGAAGACATACAAGCACGCGAATGTTCCTTATGAAAAGTTGAATTCATAAGAAATAAAACGCACCCTTGATTAATTGAATACACTCAGGAATTTTGCTGATACAGTCGTACTTGGTCTGGTGTGTCCTCTAGATCAGCATGTTAGCTGATGTTAGCTAGTGTTAGCAAACTTTAGATATTCTGTGGAGACCTAACTGATACAGAGTACAGGGCTCTCAAGTTTTATCAAACGTTTGGAGTGAGATAACACGTGTTAGAGGAGCCACTCAATTATTTGCAGCAGCAGCCCCAGTCAATTCTCTCAATTCTTTACTAGCAGTTAGATTTTACCTATAGTTAATAACTGACCCGAACAAATAGAAATTAGAACAATAGGTAAATCTGATAAAAGACTATTTATATATAAACTTGTATTTCAAAAATACAAATGTATCAAAACTAAAACGAAATTTGGCCCCAAACGAGCCCAATGAACAGCAGTGCTGTACACATAGGTTTACAGTAGGATGGCAGAACCTACGCATGTACGCCAAGCTGTGTGCCAAGCTTATGAATGGTGTTTTGTGTTGTAATTGTTTGTTGCACATTTAAATGTCTTGATGATGGGGTTAGGGGGCTCCCACTTAAAGCACTGTGGCTCAAGGCCAGCCATTTTCACCATCATGATGGATGATAGCTTTCCGTCCAGAGCCTAAATATAGAAAATTATCTCTAGTCCTTTCCTTAGTTTCACGTAGCCAAAGCTAAGCCCAGTGGTGGGTACTTAAGTACACAAGGTATATGTACTGAACTTGAGTATTTTCTTTTCATGCCACTTTCCTTTACCACGTCTCAAAGGGAAATAATATAATACATAAAAATAATTAATTGCAGTCTGATACAAAATAGTTCAACCTCAACCAACTACATTAATGCATGAGGAATAATAATCATAGGTCATAGGGGACATTTCTCTTTCTGTTTTGAGTTGGCCATACTTTTATCTTTAATTGTCTACTTCTACGTTTTCCTGCTTATAGCTAACTTACATACTTTTACTTATACTTTTTCAATGCAGTACTTGCAGAGCATTTTTTACAGTGAAATATTGGTACTTTTTTTTATTGGTTCTTTTCTGATCTAAATAGGCCTAAGTTACTTTGCTCGCCACTGGATAAAAAAGCCTAAGCTGCAGGTTGCAAAGAGGTTGGAGAGGTTTTGACTGCATCCATAATAATTTAGAATGCATTTGGCTGTACTCCCCAACATCAGCCGCTCTCACTATTGTAGCAGACCTAAAAAATTTTAGTTATGCATTTCAATAAATTTATGAGAATTGATACCCAATTATGAATTCATAATTGAAGATTCATAAAATCAATGTTTTCCTCGTTAAGGGCACCACCGGAGTTGTTATAATCCTGGAGTCTCCGGACCGCTAGGTAGTTTTGAATAATTATACAATTATTACTAGTGATCAGTTAGTTAATAATCGCTCAATTATCTTAAATCAGTCAGTCAGTCTCATATCTAAAGGGTCAATTCTCTTGGCAGGAACTAGAAATAGGCAATACACACAGCTCTTGATTATATTACAGTGAATTTATTCACTAACTAAGGTGATAAAAAGATGGTTGGATACAGGGAACATAAACATTTGCTGAACAATGAGCCTGGAGGTTCGATTGTGGGAAGCATTTGACTCATACAGCATAGAAGAGCTAATGAAAGTAAACTAATGCTATAATTTTAGGAGTTAAAATGGACATCTGATCACAGAACGTGTGTTAAGTCTTACTGCTTGTCGACAGCCTGCTTTTGGCCTGTTGCACGGGTCCCACGCTAGCTGCCGATCCTGGCTTTTTGCTAGGGATTCTCCGGGGTTCTCCGTGTCTGATTGAAAACGCCTCCTCCGTCTGGCCATTCGGCTGTTTTCAGGTTTCCTTCGTTGTAGCTGGCGAGACCACGTGGCTTGGTCTGACCTCGGTGAAGTTGGCTTCGACGAAAAAGGCTTAAAATGGAACTTGGTCATTCCTTAATTAGTCCAGTGTAACTTAACGGACTCATAACTTTAACAAAACAAAAGAAATAAAGAAAATAAAACAAACTGAAGGTAGATCGATGTCGCGGCACTTCACGTGTGTAGCTTCAGGCGAAACAAAAGGCCGGTCTTGCTGGTCGACTCTGAGGGCGCTGCCTGGCGTCCAGAGAGCAGAGCAGAGTGGAAGAGAGCCAACAGCGAAGAGAAGAGAGGGCGAAGCGAGGTTGCGTGTCGTTCTTTTGTTGTCTGGGGCGTGGTTCCCCAGGGGGCGTCTCAGGTTTCCCAAGGGACTGCCTTTCTAAATTTAATGTCTAAGGAAAAGAAATCTATTTGCACGTCTTATAATCAAATATTTTCCACAATCGAACCTCAATGGTTGAACGGTTGTACTGTTCTAGGCATTTGGTAACAGGAAACAATTGTCACATTATTGGTCAGGATATTTATACATTTAACGGCATTTCCAATGAGGGCATGTAATACTTATTTCGTCCACTTGGGGGAGCTCAGGTTACATGAGGAAAGCTTGGATCAAATCAAAGATCGTCTCTCTTTAGGAACCGGGGAATTTTTGTTGATCCATCCTTAAATTCAAGCTGGCGATTAAGAGTATAGTAAAACATTCCTTTGTCATCATTTCTAAAGGAATTTTGTAGGAGAGTATTATGAACAAGCATTGATTACATTAGATGAAGGAGTGTCTTGCTGAAAATAAAAACCCTGCACAAGTAACTTCTTTTCAGCACTAATATCAACAACAGTTAACATAACTACTCAAATAGAGGCAAACGTAACCAGGTAACTAAAGATTTAATTAACTCAATTAAATGCTTTGAGTCTTTGGAGACTGCAGTCTTTTTACATTGAAAGTTCAGTGTCTGGACCATGTCACACTTGGGTGAGACAGGGGTTTTCCTTTTTGATGTGGTAATAAAACAAAGAATAAGGTCAGTTGCCACGGAAACGTGTGTGGGGGGGCCAGTTTTGATAGGCTGTTCAGGGAAATGCCAATGGCTGGTTCATGTACCTTTGTCAGTTTAACAGTCAGGCCCCGCATTATCAGCTTCGGAATCAAAAAGGTGCCAGTTTTATGGTCGGGATAGCACTTAGAGAAAGCAACTTTGACCTCTCCCCATCTTCTCTGGGGAGGAGAAAGGAATTTAGGGTAGCTCCAAATTTATTCAATGTAAAATGCACAAATCCACACCGTTGTTCACTACACTATCTTTTATCACAGACAAGTGAATTTGTCCAGGAATCGCAAAATCAAAATGCTAAAAAAAGAAATACAGTTACTGCATTCATGGGTCTTGCGCTTCCAACTTCCACTCCGTGTATGCACGCCATGGTGCACGTGCATACATGTTGCCTGGTAACGAATGTGCTTGCAGCGGGATCACAGAGTTTACCCGGAAACAACACATTCTAATTTCTGATCAGCTAAACGGCTCTGGCATTTAGTAGGCTACAGAGATGGCTATGAACTCAGCACAGAAATGATCGTCCATTAATTGACAACTTCGAGGACGTTATCTCTTAACTAACTTCTCAGCGTAAGAAATACAAGGTGTAGCGTGTGAGCGTGTGAACTCGCTGAAATGCGTGTCTCATGGTTAATGCGTGAAAAATGACAAATTACATATAACATGTTAATTACTGAGATTTAAAGATGCTGCTAGGAGGGTTTTGTTTCCTTTAAACAGAGCCAGGCTAGCTGTTTCCCCCTGCTTCCAGTCTATATGTTATACTAAGCTAAGCAGATCTCCTGGCTCTAGCTTCATATTTCACTGATGGGCACAAGAGTTGTATTTATCTAAATATTCTTTCAATGTTTAAGCAGTCAGGCTGTTAAAGTTATTGACAGAATAGTAATGTCTAATCAGAAAGTAAATGCTGTATCATGTGTGTTTCACTATTAAAAGTGTTTGCATTACATGCAGATACGCAAAGTTAAGTCTGTGTGCATATCCACTCACTGTAAAACAAAGCAATATGCCTTTACTGAGGTGATTTGAGGTGTCTCATTAGAGTCATTACAGTTTCATTCCATTGTTTTGTCTCATTGCCCTCATTGTTAATTCTGCTCAGCCAAGCCAGATAAAATACAAGTTGCATTTGGGATCTAATTTTGGATCCATGTGTTTCAGATTGATGCTGAATAAAAAGAAGCTCGATGCCACATTTTTCTTTTCACACCTATTAGGAAATATGAGAGATCTCTTCCAGCTGCACCTTCCAGCTGCAGTGTGAACATACATTTTAATGTCCCAAATTGTTGATACAAAATCCAGCACCCTGTACAGAAAAACAGCAGCGGGTCACTCCCCCTCTCCTTGACCCAGGGCCGAGGTGAAATGCTGTCTTTGCGGCACATGCAGATATAGAGAGCGATGAGAGGGCAGACCCGGGGCTATTCACATGGCTACGTCGGAAAATGACTTTCTGACAGCTAGTCGATACTCCGCCTCACACCGGCCCGATTCCCCTGCTAAACTAACTGGCTGATTGAAGCTTCATTATACTCGACGTGGTAGTGGAGAGGTGTGGGTGTGTGGGTGTGCGGTGAGAGAGCATGTGTTTATGGGAGGTTAGGGCTACTGCAGTAATAACTTCAAGGGGACACACACACACACACACACACACAGACTTCACTACATCATTAATTAACATTGATTAACATGCTTGGCAGCAGGTTGTGGAAGTAGTGGTGATCACCTATAATGAAGACATAGAAGTGTAAGCTAATATTGGGTACACAAACTGCAAATTGGAAGTGTGTGTGTGGTTACTAGGGGAGTTGGTATGAATGCAGGAGGTGCAGTTATTTGAACTGTATTGTATGTTTTGGCTTAGAATAATACTTAATGCTGGCAGCTGTAGGTTTGCTCCTCAGTCAATAGACAGAAGCGTGGATGTGATATAAAAACTGTCTCTGATCATGAAGCCTAATGTTACTCTACAGCTCTGTGGTTTATCAGTGAAATGTCTGAACTCTGGAGACAGACAGACAGACCTTGTCTCCTCTAGGAAACGTCTGGTTCCTCACTGCGCTGCATTATTATAAACTATGATGAACCTGTTGTGGTCACATCAGTGCAAACACTGTATCAACCTGGACATGTAGAAGAACACAGGACACAAATTAACATAAGATCCTGACCAAGTTTGCTGATGCTATCGTGTTTACCTGAATCATTTCTTTTATTTCAATCAAATTTATTTTTGTTGCTCCCCCAATTATTGTTAATGACTGGTAAGAATTCAATATGTTTACGTGTAGTGGAGGGGCATACACCTTTTTTATGTCAGCTTCCGAATAGGAAAACCTTTGGAAACCACTGCTTTAATGTTTTAATTTCTCATCACAATTAGTTTATTTGCGAGCCAACAAGTGAGATATATAGACTGGATAGAGTCAAATAGGGAGGCTTTCTACGTCTATGTACCATCAAATTACTCGATGGACTCAGTGCCACCTGTTCCATTAGCAGGACTTTGTTCAGTTATGGAGCTCTTAGCTGCCGATTATTTAAATTGGAAAAAAAATTGTTGTGAATGTTGTATTGTTTTTTTTTTACAATGTCCATTTTTGAACACAGTCTTTTAGATAAATTTTTAATTTTCAGTGCACAACCAAGTAAAATGTTTTCAGAACAGCTGCATTGCCAGTGAATGCCACTGTGAATGGATGAATGAATGAATGAAAGCAAAACAGCAGGCGCCTGATAAGTAGGAATTCAAGCTATGAAAACAGTGGTCTTTGATAAATGGTCAGTAGTATTATAAATGATTATTTATAATTACCAGTTGTAAATGATTAATGGAGGGAAACATGTAAAACTGCCGCATGGTCTTTTGAAGCAAAGATTGGAAAAGGTTAGAAATGCAGTGGTTTTGCAGATGCACATGCCTTTTAAAGGTAATTTTCATTAAGGCCATGTTAACATGTCACAGTAGAAAAAGCACAGGTGTAAATCGTAAAATTAATCATGGCTAAATTCCATTTAGCTGCTTCAGTTTCAGAGTCCTCACTCACTGTAGGCTCACTGTCACACTGCTTACTGGGACACATGAATAGTACAGAGCAATCATTAACGTCAGCGGTAACACCTGTGCTTTTCCTACTATGACAAGTCAAAATGCTGCTGTGAATACCATGAGATATCAGTCAGTGTTCTCCACTTCTGGATCATGTTGCACTTAATATTGAGCAAACCTTATTACACTGATTGTCTATAGGAGGCCCAGGCCTGAACATATTCTAGTTAGACATTTTTATCAGTAGACATTATTATGATCACTTATGCCATTAATCTCGTTATATACCGTACTGGCTGTGTTTCGAACCTCAGTGCATTTTTGGTTACAGACTGTACTGTGTACATAGTATATAAAAAGCACTGAAAATTGTCAATTACTAAGAGCTGGTATTGAATGTCTGCCCAGATTTGTAATCTTCAAGACCACATTTTACATTTTTTGGCTTTTGAAGTTTGACTTCTTTGTTACATAAAAAAAAGTTAGTGATTTTTTTTTTATGAATCATGTTTATATTTCCTAGCAGCAACTGAATACCAATATTACAATATCTAATGTTGAAATTTAAATAAAATATTTCATATCAGTCTGAATTTATTAGGTATGAATTCCCCTCTTTGTAATTGTTAATAGTCAGTTTCAAGCTGTGCAATTTCAAAAACTTTTTTTAAGGTATGCATACTGTATTTTTCAAATTCAAGGAATGTCAAAATATCCAGTGGCTAAAATGGCCTGGTCAAATTCAGACACTAAATTCAAGACGTGAAATTGTAAAATTAAGCATTCCGTTGCCGTTAATATTCAAATAACTATGGCAATAAAGTTTTCAAATTTAGGTATTGTTTTGGTATCTGTATTGACACTTTGCTCTACTATAAAACATTTCAGCCCAGCCCTGTTACTTCAGAAATGTTCATAAGTTTGGATTTCAGCCTTAATGGTATAATGATTTAATGTTCACTCGAAAGCCTTTTTACCCATGACAAGAATAAAACTATGAGAAAAACATTTTGCCTTGGCAAAAGTTTTTTAAGGATACACAAAATGCTGTATTGCCAGCAGCTGTATTAAAAAAACATTATTGACCATGAAAAGCCACATATCTGTCAGGCCTTAGTTAAAGTGGACAACTTTAACTTTAACTTCGCTAACTCACTAACCTTCTGAAGGGGGGGGGGCATGACAGAAAACGTTTGGGAACCACTGCTCTAATACATTCATTTCTTATCACACATTTGAGCCACCGTGGCAACAATGGAGATAAATAGACAGACAGGGAGGCTTCTCCCTACTCCCTTCTACTTCTATGTAGCATCAAATTACTCAATGGACTCAAATTTAGGGAGGCGACCGCTCAATGACACCTGTTCCATTAGCAGGACCTTGTTCAGTAATTGAGCTCTTGGTGGGTAGTTAAATTGGTTTAATCAAGTGTGTTGGGACTTCAGGGTAGCAGAGGCTTGCCAGACTAAGTTGGCTTAACGACCTTTGTTGTTGTGGCCGTGGTGGTGTTGTTACTTCCCTATGGACAGCAGCGGGGAAAGGCAGGGACAGGAGGAGGGCTACTTACTGTGGGAACTCAGGGTTGTAGAGAGTGGGCTGAAGGATGCCGGCAGGAAACACTGGAAGAGAGATAGAGAAGAAACAACATAAGGGAAGTTAGGGACAATGTACAATACATAGAGGACAGTAGCAGAAAGTCTCTATTTGCCCAAATGGATTTCTTTCAGCACACAGCAAGAGCAAAATACGAATCAGTTTCAGCACTGCAGCAAGCTCTCACTTCATCCACAGGAAGCTGGGTTTATTTATTTATGGTTTATTGGATAGGGGCAGATATAGCAAACTGAAAACAGCTATCAGATGCAAGTATCATAGTGTTTATAGCTGATGCTAACTTGTAACACCCATCAATAACACCATCATACCCTCTGAAGAAGACATTTAGTTTATTGGATTCATTCATTTCTATCTCCTGAAATCTCACATAAGACATTTCAAAATCTCTTGGCACCATTTGCCGATGCCAGTATTTGAGGTTTCCTGGTGAAGCTTTAAATGACCATATACAGTTTATTATCATTTAACTAGTCACAGGACGTCAGCATGCTGCGTGTGGCTCATAACCGTTAATTGAAAAAGAGTAATAAAATAAATATGTGTCTCATGGCAAAATATGGAAAATAATTTAGTGCTGAAAGAATTAGTTAATGGACACATAATTTATTTTCTACATTTTTAAATTAGTTAATAATTTAAGGTATTTACAGTATCAAGACATTGACTACATTGAGAGAGCCTCAAATTTGAGGATTTTCAGTTTTATATCATTGTAAATAAATTATCTTTGGGGCTGGACTGTTGATTGAACAAAGCTTTTTCAGAGATCACTTGGCAACTTGTGGTGGACATTAATGCCACATTAGGGATGAGAATAACAATGTTGGTTGATCAAATGGTTGGTCCAACCATTTGATCCAGACTGAAATATGTCAACAACTGTAGATGGTTTGAAAAAAATTTTGTCCAGACATTCCCCAGAGGATGAATCTAGTGGTTCACTAACTTTTCATCTAGTGCTACCAACATGTCAGAGGTTTCACATATCCTGTGAAATAATATATTATAATATATATATACAATAATATTTTGCTATTGTGTTTCTGATAACTTTGGGGAACACTAATGACATTCCTTTCAGTTTCAGCTGTGCTTTGTATTAATTAACAAATATTAGCATGCTAACATGCTAAACTAAGATGGTTAACAGTATATACTTTATTTGCACTTTATATATATGCTTTTTCTGCTAATCATCAGCCTGTTAGCATTGTCATTATGTGCACATTAGCATTTAGCTTAAAGCACCACTGTGCAGCCCTAGTCATGCTTGAACATTTTAAAGATGAATTGGTTTATTTAAAAAATAATAATTGAATTAGTAATTAAAATAATTATAGTTGCAGCTTTAACAGTACAGTATGTTGGTTTAAACGTAGGTAGCCAGGATTTAATATTATCGGTTTCAGTGAGATCGCAGTCATTCACTGACTGTGAGCCAATTAAATCAAATTGAAAACTGACCTGTGAAGAGAAAGAAATTCACTGTTACGGAGCAACTTTTAATTAAACCTCTGTCCTTGTCTGTTTATCTTCAAACAGGACTTGATTCTAGACATGAAATAAAAGAAGCCAAAGAGGTACAACTAAAGTGGGCAACATTAATTTGATTTTTTAAAAATGAGTATGAAAGTGAATACAGAGCTGAGAACTGAAGCAGCTGGGTTAAGTGAGAGAAATAATGTGCGTAGGTAAAAAAAAAAAAAATATGACCCAGGAGGCTCTGATGACTGTGTTTGTCTGACTCCTCCTGTCCTCTAGCATCAGCTTGCGCGCACACTATTGATTTTTCTGTGAGAGATTTAATCCAGCAGGCAGGCAGGCAGACACAGACAGCGGGCCGATCCTGGGAGAAGACGAAGAGAGGAGGGAGGGAAGGAGGGTTGACTTCGAAAGGCTAGATTTGTTAAAACTTGGGATGACGTTACTGCTTGTTTTTCCTCCAGGGGGGTATTAAGCATGGGAGGTTGAGATGGAAGAAGAAAGTGAGCGATGAGAAGGAATATGATATGAGGAGGTGGATGCTTTTTTTTTTCGGAGCAGCCGCTGTGTTTGACTAGTTGAACACAGGTGGCAACATGGTGTAATTGCGTGTAACTAATGCACGGTCCATGTCATGGTGCAATGGGGGAAAGGATGCGTGTGTGTTTGTGTGTGGAGACAGATGCCAGAGAGAACACAAATATCAGTATGTACAGCACAATGAAGAGTCACGCACTCACCCATTTGGTTCTTGTTAGGGAGGTAGTAGGCATTAAGGGCCTGAGGGGGGAGAAGCCACCTGAGGAGAAAAACAGTGTCAAACAAACCGGGATTTTACAATGAGATCAATCACACAACAACTCAAATCACCAATCTACCTACTCAAAATACACCCCAATCCTGAACAGAATCCCAAACACCTCTGTACACTTCTCTAAATGCCCTGGTGAGAAATAATCAGTGTGTGCTGTCACACGGCCGAAGTTCCTCTCTGCATATGAAACCGCGGACAGTTCCTTTATGGTAATCCACTTAAAGCCCGACCAATTGATTGGCACAAAATCCCCCAAATGACTAACTCTGAAAGTGTGAGATGCCCTTGTTCCAGGAGTGAAAGAGTGATGGCTCTGCATGGACTGCGGAAGATAGAGGGGAGACAAACGCATGCAGAAGTATTTATTTATTTATTTCCCAGCGACAAGACAGAGTGAGCGATGAAAGGTTCACTTTTTGGTGATAAAGTTGGAGGGTGTGATTTAACTCTTCAGGGCATTGAGTGTGGGCTAATGATACATTTGTTTTGAGCACCTTGGAATGCTAATGTGACTGTAATGTGTTGTCATAGCGGAGAGGCACTCAATCCAGGCGTACATGGCTGTATTTTATAAAAATGAGCCGCATGTCCCACAGCACTTTGCTGCTGCCTGGCTGCTATAGATAAGTAAATCAAATGGATTTTCTCCAGCTGTGTATGTTGATTTGGTATCATGTTGGTTTAATTTAGAGGCGCATCAACAAATATGTCAAACAAAAAAGGACTCACAGGGACACATGTTAGGCATGTCAAACATATTTGAGCGACACACACTCCCAGTGGTGTAACTGCAGCGTCCAGTGTGAGCCTCAGCTGCATGAGCTCAGAATGGATTTCAAATGTATTAACCTTTTTTAATTGCTTTGCACCGCATGTCAGTAAGCTAATGTGGCTGGCTAGTGTAGCTTTTTGTAATAAGATATGACACTCACGTTGTCTTGTCCACTTCTTCATGGATCTTCTTGACTGACAGCTTGATGTTGAACTTGATGCTGTTGAGGATATTCTTGAAATAGGTCTTCTCGTTCACATCGAACTGCAAAACACAGACATGGAGTTATTGTGTAGTTATTGTGTATTAAAGGAATAGTTTGAGACTTTGGGAAAGAGAGTATAGATACCACTCTCATGTTTGTTAGTTTAGCTTACCATAAAGACACCTACAAAACGCAATAATTTACGTGTTATTTCTTGTTTGTTTTATCTGTGCAAAAACTTCAAGTTTTTTCAAGTTTTCAAATTTCAAATTCAAGTTTTACGTGCCAGACTCCAGGAAGGTCCCAGCCAGGAAACAGTCACATAATCCCCTGTTTTTTACCTGGATTAACATGGTAAATAGTGAACTTTTGGATTTTGTTACCGTTTCCCTTTGTCTCCAGTCTTTGTGCTAAACTAATCGGAGCTGAGAGCTGTAGTATCATATTTAACACCGAGACATGGTAGTAGTTTATTTTTAGTTTGAAAACTGGTTTTGTTCACTTGCAAAAGGAATTTAATGTAACTTGCTTTTGTAACATCACCATCCTTTAAACTGACAGTAAAACATCATCTTCCTTGTTTGTACTTTTGCTTGTTTAGTCTTACAGGGCCAGATGTACTCCTGTCAGTTTGTGACAAAAATACATATTTGTGCAGAGCAGTATTTAAAACTGAAGTAGCAGATGGAGGACAATTTTCCACAGAGCAGAGTTAAGTAACTCTATGCTTGTGATAAATGCTTCAGAAGCTGCCAATATCTCTCCACATCACATTTAATGCAGCTGTACTGTAGAAAAATATATTTTATTTAAAGTTACCTTGTGGGGTTTTTGACCACTAATATTGCTATGGAGCAATGCTTTAATGAGCAGGTCCACTTTTAACTAGGCTAACCTAGGGTGATCATATTTTCAAACCCCAACACGGGACCCTTAAGTGTAATGCATGTTCATGCGTGCACACAAGTATGTGCTTATGCACGCACTGGTCTCTTTATCAGGATGGGGGACACTTATTTCAGCACTTAGCACACCTCCCGGGAGCACCTGTCAACACCATGAACGCAGCATTTTCATTGCCGGGAACTTTAGCCTGTGGGAGCTCTAGAAAAGGCAGACCCCCTCGCACAAGTCTCTTCAGCATTACAGCTAACCGTTAGCATGTTGACAGGTTCTGTCAGAAAGAGCCACAAGCATCATTATGCTTGCCTATGACTACTAATTTAGAAGTTAATGTTGAAAACATTGTAGTGTTTTACAAATATTTTTCAGGACTCTGGATACCCAGCTTGAAACTCAGACAATTCCAGATAAACAGGGACTCTTGGGCTCCTGCACGAAGCTAGCACAGACCAACAGATTTCAACCCACCATCTAGTACCTGGTAAGACTGTTTAAGACCTTACAAAATGAACAGTTATGTTTTTATTATCTTAGAATGAGCTATTTCTATCTACATATACCGCGGGTCCCCCTTACATTGACGTCGTACATCAAAGAAGAAGAAGAAGAAGAAGTAATAATATACAGCAGGGGTCTGCAAATAAGTTTTGCATCAGAGCAATTTTTTTATCCATTAGATGGTGGGTGAGAACATCAGACATAATATTTAAACTGAATGCTACATGGTTTGGTTAGCTCAGTTGGTAAAGCGCATGACTCAAAAGCATGTTCTTTGCCTTGTCCAGGTAAATTTTCTTTTTCTTTTCAACAAACTGATTATGAAGCCACTGTTTTACATGCTGACAATAAAGCATGTGCCGCAGTGTGTGTTTTAACCGCATCCATCAACCTACGGACGGTTTTTCGTTTCCCCAGTATCTCCAGGCAGACGACATTTAGCGGAATCACATTTTCTAGCGGCTATTTTAAAGGTGTGTCAAGCAGGCTACAGACTCTTTTAATGTCATTCAAAAAAGTAAAAGCTCAGTTCAACTCCAATTACAGCATTGCAGTAAACAAGCTTCTCGGGCTTTTATTTTGCAGGCAAAACCTGAAAATCAGTGTATTTCAGGTTCATTTACTCCTGTGCATGATGCATTTTTTGTTCCAACTGAATCATCCAGGATGCATGGTAATGTCTGACGGAAAATCGTTTTCTAGAGACAGAGGGAGAAAGGGATGCTGGGAAATGGAATTTGTTCATATGATGTGTGGGCGCTTGTGTGCGGCGAGGATGACTGGACAGTGCAGAATGAAATAGGAGGCCCATGACTCACCCCATATTCTTGATCTATGAGCTCAGGTTTGAGCAGGAAGTCTGGGTATCCTGTCATCACCATCATGTGCTTCAGCTGGGAGAGAAGAAGAAGAGAATGTGATGGAGGGAAGGAGAAAGTGGAGGAGAAACAACTGGTCCAACATCGCCCCACATCCACTTGCACTAACTAATAACCACTCACACCAACTTGTTTTTTGGATCCAGGCACACCACCATCCAAGCGCACACGTGTACGCACACACACACCCACACGCATCAACTAATCAAGCAAACCCAATGTAATAGGATTACAGGGAAGCTCTTTATATTCAGCATGGCCCTCTAAAAGGATTATAACTTCAGATTGTAAAAGAATTAGAAGGGATATCTTGCAGTGCAGACCCTAAATCAGCACCACAGAGAGATCCGGATTATGCGATCCTCACTTCTCAATGTCAAGCCCTTGATGTATTCTATCACACACTTCCATCTAACCAAGCAATCAATCAAACCCCCGGAAAGAAAGGAATTGCAAAGAAATAATTAAATCCTTTTCAAATACTAATCGGATCTGGCAGGGAGTTCTGTTTATAATTCAGAAACTGTGCTAGGATCTGAACCTTTGCCCTGGCAGCCTCCTTGGTGGCTTCATCCATCCAGTCCAGCTCATGCAGCCGGAGATCCAGGGAATGCTTTATGTCCTCTACCAGCTCCTGTACCTGGAGGGAGATCATATCATATTGGAGGAAGTTTTAAAGGCCCTGAAAACACATTTTCTCACTCAGCTTCTTACAGTGCATGGGGTCCTACATGAACGCAGGTTCACATGAAAGATTTCTGTATTTGTGTTTTTGTCAATCCCTTTCTTTAAAGTGGGCCAAATATATTTGTCATGTACTTCCATGCACCAATCAGGATTTAGCAGCATTTGTCAAAAAGAGACTATATATGTCAAACTACATTTAGTGTTTTTTTACTTTAAATGTTGCATATTGAGTCATGTATATTTAATGTATGTAAAGAAATACTGGAGATTTGAAGCCAAAGTTTCAGGGGTTTTAATTTGTTCCCCAAATCCAAAGTTAAAGTTGTAATTAAAGCCTATAAACAAGCAGGCATAAGCAATCAAGCATAAACAAACCATAGCACATAGTGCTTGTGTTTTTCCTGACAAGTGTTGCTTGTGTTACTAACTGATGATATAGATTTCCGTTGTAACAGATTGCCAACAGTGGTGGATTTTCTTCCACCTTTGAGTCTCATTGTTCCAGTTTTTGATGTCAGTTGTGTGTAATGTGAATTCCCAGTGTCCAATACGTAATTACCACTGACCCTATGTGTAGCTGAAACACACCACACAGCACAAGTTGAAGCATTCAGCCATCACTGAATTTCGATTTAATTTCAAAAACAGCCTGGGACACAGTTCTATTTTCCAGCTGCAAGCACAAGCAAGTCAAAGTGTCTAAAATGGGACGCTTTGACTTGCAGTCTGTAATGACATAAGGCTTGCAATTACAGTGCAAACATGCAGAGAAATTATAATGTGAGTAAGCTTATAAGCCACCAATGAAACTTGGGTTACTGAGAATACTTTTGAGTGTGTTCTGTTAACCCCAGCCTGCTAGTGCTGCAGCGCTGCTCTCATTTATGACAGCCGCACTGCAACAAGCAGGCTGAGGTGGACAAAACACAATGGAGTTCAGCTCCAGTGTATATTGTACAAATCTAATGTGAGATTTACATCCAGTGCCAGCGTTGAGAGACTTTTAAAGAATTATACTGGTGCTTTCACAAACTACTGTAAACAGGAATGCTACTCCTAAAAGACACTGTCCTTCAGCTACCTCTACATTGGTGATTCAGGATAACAAGAAAGCATTTCCCACTCTGTCTCCCGTCGCTCAGCTTCAGCTCCTGAGACTCATTAATTCCTGTTCATGCTGAGGTAAGCAGCATCAGTGAGTCAGTCAAGGCTTCACCCATGACCACTGGCTTCGAGTCCAGTACCTCTTGTGTTGATAATGAGGTCTCCAACCTGTGTGGACATGCCAACGTAGTACAGACTGATGTCCACGAGCATTGTGAAATGATCAGTGTTAACAAGGAAAATACCAAAAATGACAGAAATATGACCCAGCATGAGACTTTCTATCCCGCCCACATTAAACACTCCACCATACATTCAGGGAGGACAAATACAGTTGAATGACATTTAGATCCTTATGGGATTAGCACCCACTTCATCTGGTAAAAACCTGCCAAACTGTAGGCTTCATCCTAAAAATCCTTCTTCTCTATTTATTCTCTTATTTTATTAATCAGAAAGGCTCCACTAGCTTGAAGCATTATTGAAATTTACACTCAGTATCTTATTAGAATCTTAAATGGAAGATTAGGAACATAGGAACTTTTAATTTCAGTTAAGGTACAGTACATAGAAAGTAATTAGCGCCCAGAACGTATCCAGTTGTGTCAGATTTGCTTTATGCTTTATAGTCCCCAGCTTTGACAGAGATTTAAAAGTTTGAGAGAAGAAGAAAGGCAGCTCGATGTAAGATAAAGCATGTAGGGTGGACTGTGAGAGTATAAGAAGACCATGAAAGGGAGATGATGGAGGGCTTAAAGAAACAGCATGGGGTCACAGAGGTTAGAAATCCCATTGGGAACCATATCCCCATGTCCCAGAATGGACATGAGACTGAGATAAGGTGAAAGAAAATGGGACCAAAGGGCAGTGGTGGGGGTTAGTAGTGGCTGACCTAGGCAAAGAGTAAAATAGGAACAACAAATCAGTGAGTGAGAGGCAGAGACTCAAGGCAGTTCTGATTGGCATGGATTTCCAGATCCCACGACAGGAATCAATCAAAATCATCTAGCCAAGTCAAAAAACACCCACAGCTTGATCCACTACACTGACCCGTGGAGCCAAAGAAAATGATGAACTAGAAAAGAAAGGACAATTTCATAAGAAACAATGTCAGAAAATGTTCCAGTGTGTACACTGTCATGAAAACTTATGAAATTTGAAAATGTGTTTTCCAAGATTGGAATTGTCTCAGATGATTGTAAAATATTATTAAATGTTTTCAGTAATAAGTACAGTCATAAAAAATTTAATTCAAGGCCAATGTCAGTTTTGTGGTTTTTCCTTTTTCTGTCTTTGAAGGCCGTGTGGTTTCACACAGATTGCTGTCCAACTATTTTTTTATGCAGTCAGTGGAAACAGATAAATTGCTCATTACTACATACATTTTTTGTCTAAGTAGTGATGGAAATGCCTTCATTAAATAAGTAATGATATTAGGGCTGACCCCGAATAGTCGAAGATTTGATGCTTCAATGGGCGTAGCCTGATTCGACTGTCAATCTCACAGTCGAAGCATCGTAGTGAAACATGGATCATGCCATTTTGGCGATATAGGGGTGCTCGACGTCTGGTTTTACATAGAACTACCAGTTTTCTCCCAGTAAGTTAATATACAGCCTATTACAATACACATTTCAACGTTTAATGCTGTAAATAAACATGTAAAAAGAAAAAAACTTTCAATAAATGTTTTTGAAGTGCGTGAATAAATCCAAAATTATAACCCTAACCCTGGGTTGTCAGTGCGCATGTGTAGGCTTAGCGTGTATGTGTGCAGTGGCAGTGGAGGAACACTTGCTGAAGAGACCGAGCCCCAGCTTCACTGGTGTTGTGCCGAGTTATTCGCACCTCGCGGGACTTTCGGATAATTTATCACCATTGATGAACCACATAAAGAATATTTTATCGTTTTTAATTAGCCGTCTACTTGAAATAGACTCGCGGGGAACCGCGACGTGCATATAGTTTGCAAAACTCTACACAAGACCGGTGAATGACAGGCGAGAGAGAGAGAGAGAGAGAGAAATGGTGTTCTGCAGCTTCTCAAGATTAAAGCGGAGCTACAGTGTGTTCAGGTTTTCAGCTGGCTCATGTCTCAGTTTTAGACCCATGCAGAACTCAACATGGAATTCACATTTAATTTTTTTTTATTTCAAAAGTTTAATTCTAATTTATGGGTCAGTTGGCTGGAATCTGGCTACTTCCTAGATTAAATGAACATAGGCAAAAAAATGTATCTCCTCTGTAAGCGGGACAAAATGAAATCCATCTGAATTCATCCATCTATTCGTTTTGTTTATGGGCCATCACTTGACTGTCCCACCAACATGGTTGGGCAATGTAATGTTGCTAGTTACTTATTACTCCTTAAAAAATAATAATATTACTTTACTTATTACTGGGTGCTAAAAGTAACCCCCCCCCCCCCCCCAAAGAAAGCAGTGTCTCCTGACTCCCCGGCTTTAATCATACTCATTACAGCAGCAAGACGTATGGTTTTCACAAAACATATCTTAACGCCAACAGCTGAAATAAAACCAAAAACATGTCAATCCCAACTTTTGAATTACTGTTTTTCTGAACATGAATTTATAAGAGCAGTATTCAGTGCTTTTACAAAATGTAAAACAGTGCTTAACGCCACTCTCTTCCGACGAATTCAAGCATCAGTGGCAGTAGTGGCCGATAGTTCTTTCCATGAGTTTCACATTGCTTTGCTGCTTCAGCAGATGCTTCAATACATTAGATGAAAAGTAATATTGTTACAGTAACGCGTTACTCCCCAACACTGCCCACCAACTATCCATTAGTCCACCCCCATACCTTGGCCTTGCTCTGCGAGGAGAAGTGTTGCTGGACGAACAGGGCCCCCAGGGCCATGCCAAAGTGTTTGTTGGCCTGAGTGAGGCAGAGCCTGCCCAGCTCCAGCTGCTGCTCCGTGCCATCAATCTCCCGAGAAAACTCATGGATGGTGCTGCGGAAGGCGGTGGACAGGTGTTCACTTAGCGCTGCCACAATTCGCCACAGCATGTAGTTATGGAGAACCCTAGGACGTAGGAAACAAAAAGGATGGGTCAGTTAAATCAGCACCTTAACCTCCTTCAGAGATTCTGTCAGACCTGGGCCCTAACAGTAAACACAGCAAAGACTAAGATAATGATCTTTCAGATACAATAAAGAAATCAGGTTACTCACAATTTCTATTTAGACACCACTAAATTACAACACACAAAAAACTACACTTAGCTTGGCCTTAACATTACATACACAGGGAACTTCAACATGGCTGTGAAAGATCTGAGGGACAAAGCAAGGAGAGCTTTCTATGCAATAAAAAGAAACATTAAAATATATATTCCAATTTAAATCTGGCTTAAAATTTTCCAATTTATACTAGAACCAATAATTCTTTATGGTAGCGAAATCTGGGGGCCAAAACTTAATGAATTTGACAAATGGGACAAAACAATCATAGAATCTTTCCATACTGAGTTCTGTAAGAGCATCCTGCAGGTGCAGAGAAAGACACCAAATAACCTGTGCAGAGCAGAGCTTGGCCAATACCCCCTCCTACTAAAAATACAGAAAAGATCACTTAAATTTTACAATCACTTAAAATCAGTTAACCCCCAGACATCATCATCACAAAGCCCTAACATACCAGGAGCTGAAACCAGAGAAGAGTCCCCTCAGCCATCTGGTCCTGAGGCTCTCTGCAGTAACAAGTCCCCAACATCCTCAGGACAGCAATACCAACTCAAGCAGACCAAACCAAATTATCAGCGAGCAGAAAGAAAATATATTGAATACTGGCAAGAAACGACCTAAACACAAAGTAAATTACAATGTTATCTGACCCTAAAAAGAGAATTCACACTGGCAAATTACCTGAGTACAATAAAATGTCCCAAACTAAGAAAAATGTTGACAACACACAGACTGAGTGAACACAGCCTGGCCATAGAAAAGAGGAGAGACTCTGCTCCCAGTGTGACAGGGGACAGGTAGAGACAGAGGTGTACTTTCTATCTCATGCCCCAAATATAAAACACTAAGAAAAAAACACTTTGCAAACATTTCCCAAATATACCCCGAATTCGAATTCATATCAGACACACAGAAACTCCCTAATTTACTGGGAGAAATGCCCAAATGTGAAATAATTGCTTATTTCATTTTTAATATATTTTTATTTTTTTAACACACTGTATTATTTATTTATTTTATTTTTAATATATATTTTTTAACACAACACACACACACTTACTGTTTTATTTATTTATTTTATATATAGATATTTTTTAACACACACATGCTTACTGTTTTATTTATTTATTTTATTATAATTTTTAATATTTCTTTTTTTTTCAACACAAACACACATAGCTTTGATTACTTGTTTAATGAAATGTATGGCGTTGATTGTTCTTATGTTGTATGTATGATGCTTTCGCAATGTTGTTGTTGCCACATTCATGCCAATAAAGCTAATTTGAATTGAATTGAATAAATCATAGAGCTGGTTTGGATTTAATTAATCCTTGAACACACTGTAACTTTGCTCTGCAAATAGATGTTTATGATTCAAAAACTAGAAGCAGTGAAAATACTGTGTTCTCTTTCAACAATTCTTTAAGTGTTCCCTACAGAAACGTTTCTCCAACAAATAATTGAAGCAGCAGAAACAGTGTCTGCTATGATATGGACAAAAAGAACCCATACTCACACAATATAGAACCCTTACAGTGTGCCTATTTACTTTTAGCTGAATGGCAGCCACTGGCAGGTGATGATGGAACAGTGGATAACACATGACTTTGGTGTGAGACCCGGGTTTGAATGCACTGTGAGACACCTATGTGTTCCTGAGCACCTAGTTGCTCCAGGGGCGTGCGACCTCTTGACATATATTGTAAGTCGCTTTGGATAAAAGCATCAGCTAAATGTATATAATGTATATGTATGTATTACCAGAAAGTGGTAAATGCTACATCACAGTGTAACAGTTACACAAGTAGAGAAGAGTCATAAAGTGAAAGTAAAAATGCACTAACTCAAAAACTCACTAAAAATGTCTATATCAAGAAAGTTCGCTAACTTTACCTTCCATAAGATACTGGTCATAGCAGACCAAGTAAGGCTGTTGCGGCAAAACCACTGAATGTATCGTACAAATGTGTGTTCTTGTTTCAAAAGTTACATAGTCTGGCTTTAATGTAAGACTGTAGCACAATTCGTCTCTCTTTGCAAAGTGACATCTGTGTCTTAACTGTAATCTTGTTCCATCTCGTCCAAAGTTCTGTTTTTTAAATCTGCCCTCTGAGAAAGAGTCAGAAAAGTTAGACAGAAAACAAGAGGCAGTCAGTGATCGAGAGCGAGTGGTAAGGAGTCAAGAGGGCCAAGCAGTTTAAGAACAGCTCCCTCTAATCCAGAGAGACTCACAGCAGAGAGGCAGCAGAGGGGCGAGGAAAATGTCGAGCGGGAGGAGAGAAAATGGATCATTCATTTATGTATTCATGCTGTGTCTTCTCCCCCAGACGATGGAGCGCTGGTGTGTCCTCGTGCCCCCACTGGGTGCACACATCTAATCTGCCCTGCGGGGACAAATGCCCCCCTCTCCCATTGCGAGGCTCCATGCGAACCTAAGGCATGTTGTTGTTGTTTTCCCCAGTTCTTTTTATTTTTCCTATGCATGACAGATATTAAATCAAAAGCGCCTTGGCAACAGCACCCCGAGGTCCCGCCAGCAAAGCACTTGTGAAGTGAATTTAATTGACGGGAAAAGGGAGAAGAAGGCAGGAAGTGGAGGAAGGGAGGGTAAGTAAATGAGAGACTCAGGTGGTGTCCTTGATCATCAGTACCATCAGCTAATCAACATGTGTTACAGGTGTGGCTGCTGTGCTTGAACTGCTGGTCAGGGTAACTTTGTTGCCGCCTGGTTGTTGGGGATAGTTTGTATCATCATACTCGGACAGGCGTGGGTTTATAAATGCATGTGTGTACATGTTTGCAGGAGTGTGTGCACAGTAGTGCACCTACATGTATGAAAGCCATCTATATGATAATGGTAAAAATTCACAGCATTTCTCTACTGAATGTGTGGGAGAGATGACCCACATTTTACTTGAGGCATCTTTGAGGAAAAGTAATGACAATAATCTTTCAGAGTAAAGTTGGATTCATACTTGACACCAGGGGTTAACAGGGTTTTTTTACATTCTTTCATGCAATATGTGATATAAGTGGACTACGACCTACCTATAACTGGAGTTACATCCAGGTAACTTCTACTTCACATTGTGTCATCACTGAATAGGAGACCTCTTCTGTGCAATCAGTGTATTTCATCCACTCACTGCGATAAACTGCTCTTTATCTCTTTATCTTTAGTCACACTGCCACACTGTCACACTGTTACCCGAGCAGCGCTTGTACATCCCGGAACCTCTTGGTTTCCTTTTTGGCACCCATGTTCAGAGGTTAAAGCAGCCACACAGTCCGCGTGAGCAGCGAGGCTCAGATGCCTCATCTGGAGAATGGCGTGACGTGCATGCAGTTCTCAAAAAAAATAAACAGTCAAAAGGATTTGTTGATAGTCATATTGACATCATAATAGCAACATTACACCTTTTAATGTCACCAGTTTAAATGTCTATATCTGAAGAATATGTCACAGAAATGAAAAAGTCATATTTCTAGCATTGCCACATGGTATCACCGTATAGCTACATTTTTAAAGGGGTGCTCTTCAGCAATGGCCCAGACTACGGCATAACCTACAGTGCAGATACACAGTAGGCCCTTAGTGCTATAAATACAGTTTAAAAAGAAATAATCAACAATAAGCTGTGTGGTTAACAAGACTCTAACATTGTACAACTATGCTTGCAGTTCTGTGATGCTGTATTTAAGCACATCAGTGCTTTGAGCTACATGCTAACTATAGCATGCTAATGCGCTCACAGTGACAATTCTAACATACTGATATTAACCAGGTGTTTGTTTAGTGTGTTGACTTGCTAACATCAGCTGAGGCTGATGGAAATGTCATTAGTTTTGCAGATATTTGATCTTAATACAAACTATTGGTCCTGATGATGACGCTAGATGATGTTAAGCCATTACACATCATCCTCTGGGGAACATCTGTACTGTGTGTGTGGTTAAAAACAAAATGTTGACTGCTAGTTACTTTTTTACCTGTGATTTACCTCAGCAGAGTGTAATATTTTTTAACCACACAGAGTGGACTATTCAAGACTGTACCAACTGACCACCAACCAAACAACCTTTTTGGAAGGTCCAAGGAAACAACCTGCTAACATGTGTTGTTGTGGAAGGCATGACGAGTATCCTACAGTACATTTAGGGTGGAAAACTTGTTGTATTATTCTGTTTAAACTTGCCCTCAGATTAAAAGTGATGTTTATTCATAATTTGAGGCATTATACTTTATAATGTCAACCTTTGTATTGTAGTAGCTGTAGCTTAGTAACAGCTGAAATGAGATACCTCGAGATTAGTATTACGTTAGAACAGCTGTTCAATTGCTTGTTAACACAAATAGCTAATCTGAATATTTCAGAAAATGCTTATCTACTGGGATTTTCACCCATCTCTAGGGTTTACAGAGAATGGTCCAAAACAAAGAAAATATCCAGTGAGCGACAGTTGTGTGGACTTCAATGCCTTGTTGATGTCAGAGGTCAGAGGAGAATGGGCAGACTGGTTCAAGATGACAGAAAAGCAACAGTATACCATACCATATACCATACCATACCAGAATACCATCTCTGAACGAATGTCGAACCTTGAAGCAGATGGGCAGAAGACCACACCGGGTGCCAGGCTACAGTTCACACAGTCTCACCAACATTGGACAATAGAAGATTGGAAAAATGTTGCCTGGTCTGATGAGTCTCGATTCAGATGGTAGGGTCAGATTTTGGAGTGACAACATGGATCCATGGATCCATCCTGCCTTGGATCAATGGTTCAGGCTGGTGGTGGTGGTGGTGTAATGGTGTGGGGGATATTTTCTTGGCA